TTCGGGTCCTCGTCTAGGTTGATGAGAGCAAGCAAGAGGGGATATTTCTAGGAACACTATGTGACAAAAGACAAGGCAATGAAGAAGAAAAACCAACTGCAAGATAGTAGATCTTGCTCTCTCTGGTATTCAAAGAATGGGAATCTTCAGCAAGATGGACAATCGTGGACATGAATTCTTGTGGTAGGAGTGAAGCAGGTGGGCAAATCTGATGGTGTAAAGGGATTGGGTATTATGTCTGTTTCAATGTTGTCCAGTTCAGCCGTCGTGAAGTATTCTTTATTGACTACATATTTCAACTCTGTAACATTCAAATCATTCATCATAGCACCCTTTGAAGAAATAGCATCATCCAAAGCACTCTGATCTACAGCTCCATCTGGAGATCAAAGTATTTCTTTGCATGCGGTATTCAGTTTGTCTACCGTGTTAGTTTCAGCTTCATCTTATCCTCCCTTGGTTGGCTTCTTTCCATTTTTTCCAAAGTTTAGTCAGCCCCATTTTCCAACTTAGCATACCCATTCCCATGAAAGTCGAGCAGAAAGCATATTCCGTTGAAATGTGTTCTTCACTGTCAACGCGGTGCAAATGAGAATCTGGAGGTCATTTAAGTCACATTGTAGTATTGTGTTGTGGTAGAGGTAGAAGGTGAGGGAGGTCAGTTATCTGAAGCAAAAGGAGCGAGGGAAAGTAAATGTTTGCAAAATATTGCTGGTAAATAAGTGTTTGAAAAGCGAGTGGAAGGCATTGTCTTGCTGTCTGGCAGCAACTGTTTGTAGAGCTTATTGTGTGGAGAAACAATCGTTTGGAGCACTGTGGTACAAAAGATGTAGGTCAGAAATTACCAGACCACAACTTACTTGAGTTTACATCATAATGATTCTGCGGCACCAGTCCCACCATGTGTAAACGCATATGGAGCTCGACAGTGCTCAAGTGTGTCGAAGCTCAGTCTGGAATATGTAAAGTATGTCGGCAGGATGTGATGCATGCTTAAGTGTGTCAAAGCTCAGTCTGGATGGGTTGAAGCATGTCGGAAGGATGGACCTCAGGACTAGAAGACTGCAGCTGCTCCACTTCCTGTTATCAAGATTCGAGGGCATGTGAAGTGTCCCGAAGAGCAGAGGTAAAAGAGGAATTCTCCTGCTGTGAGTCAGCAAGCTGAGACTCCAGCAAACGAACATAAGCAGCGATACGCTGATTCTCAGCACGGTAAGGGTGAGCTGTGAAAGTGTGAGGTACCAAAGCGGAACAAGGAGTGGGAGGCATAGTGGAAGAAAGGAGGTCTTATCCTGCACCCTTTATAGGTGTTCGAGCAGAAGGGGATGAAATGGCTTGCCAAACCAAACCACAATGCGCTTCTGCAACAGCCGCCAACCGAACCACATCACTGGGACCCTGCATCGGCAGGTCCCTGTTAGGTACCTCCATTAGGGAAGGTGAGGCGCGAGGGGGTGCAGGAACGGAAGTGGAAGCTACTACTGATCAACCCAGGGGAACCACCAACTGGACGTGACAGGAAGGTTCCGGATTTGCCTCTACCACAGGGGACTTCCAATGAGAATACTTCTTGGGAGCATCTGACCAAATCTTCTTGCTGGAGGGATCAGCCATAGGCATAGGGGAACAGTCGCACTTATGTCTAGCTGCGACAGCTGCATCACTCTGTTGCAAGGCAAGAAACTCCTGCAACTCTTGCTGGTCAGCAATGACCATGTCCCACTCGTTCAACATATTCAACCCGAGGAGGGTTGAAGTAGAAGAAGTACGTGCATGAAGTGCATCGTTGTATTCATGCCAGACATTCAAAGGAATACCCCAAGTTGACTGATGTGCAGGAGTCCCACGGAGCTCCAAAAATCTACGGCTGTATGCAAGATTTTGATTACAGCAATGAGCCAAATACCGATATCGAAGAATCTTTCCCAGACTACAAGTCTTCTTGGCAGAACAGTTTATACACCAAGGGGAGTTCGGCAACACCTTGCAATTTACTTGGGGTCTTCGAACAATTGGTACAAGGAGAGGCTACCTCCGCTAGAAGAAGCCACAACAGATCATCCTGACAGTAACCTGACAGCGGCTTGCCAGTGTTAAAGACTGTCTCAAACAGCTGAACCTGTGGACAACATGGTGACTCAAGAGTGAAGGCTAGCTGATCCTTTTTGACCTCCCCATTGGATTCAGGATCCGGGAAAGGTACCTCCCCCAAAGCGGTAAGAGTGGGTAGCAGAGGAGAGGGTGTGCAAGAAGTGGGTCGAGCAGGAACAGAGGACATTGCAGTTAGAAGAGTTTGACCCGTAAAACTGAGGTGGTGGAAGAGGGGGAAAAGCAAGTATCTGATGGACTTCAACAAAAAAATTTTCAGGTGATTTCCCAGAAAACATGCCTACCCATTGCGAGGGTGCAAAGGGGTTACAGGGAGGGGGGAGTAATGTCATGCCCTGGCTACAACCAGACCAGTCCTAGTACCAGCCACACATTGTCACACTTCCTATCTACCTCTGCACCTCCCCAAGACAGTACCACCATTTCTCTGATATACCTACCCAAACGTCCTGACAATCACCAAGACATGCATACAAAACTCTCCTAACCACCAACTGCATTAAGTACTAATCTCAATTACCTTCCTCCCTCAATTATCTACCTCATGTTCTCCAGATGTTCTCTTGTTCACTTCCCGTACCTATTTAAGTAGCACCGCGACGTCCCCAAGCCCCAGCTTGGTATATTTTGAACACACACCCTTTTGCATAGGTCCAGTCCCTGTCCCTTTGTACCTGCTAACTAAATGGATTTCTCTTACTCTCAGTTTCTCTATCTCTGTCTCACTACTCTTATCTTTGTCTCTACAATCATCTACACAATCTAATATATGCTTTTACTTTATGTCTAAGCAATCCGAGTGAGTTCCCAAGCTCCCCAATGTCTACCACCTTGGTGAGCAAACCTTCCCTAAACCTCCTCAAGCTCCCCAACTGCTCCTCGAGCTCTGGGACCTCAATCTAAGTAACGTCAAAGCTACCCCTTACGTCAAACTATGTACCACTTTTCCGTTACTACCTCCACCACTCAATGACATCTGCCACTACCCCCACTTCCCGGAACATCTTTCCCAGGCTAACACCTTATCGGGAGCTCACACATCCGAAACCTTCATCAACTAAAATCTATAACAATCCTACATTGATGTTCCTAGCTAGTACAACTCATACTACTTAGTGCTTCTATGTCTACTGGTCTCCGTCACTTCTACCTCTGCTCGTTATGTCCTTCTAGGAGCCCCTTCAAGGGTCACATCTCTCAATCCCAGCCACTACTACGTCATTCCTGTCCTCGGTTGCAGTTCCCGTAGCTCCGCTCCAGCCTGTTCTTAGCATACTACAACATAAACCCATTATACCAAAACCTTCCCTAAGACCAATTCGGACCCAGGTCTTACACAAAGATTCTTCAACCTAAAGATCGAGATATATTCGCATTTGAAAAGTTGTTGTATGTTTCTCATAGCATATTCTGCTATTCCTTGTCAGTCAATTTGTGTTCGAATTTAGTGACTTTAATGATGGTCTCATGTAATTGAAGTACTTTCAGATACACTGGCAGTTGCAAAGCTCCTTGTAGGGACCTCAACTAATCGGCTGGACAATCTAGTGTCAATTTTCGGTGTTTCTACTGATTTTGCATATGCTTGTTTTAGTTCACATGATGTATTCGGTGGGTTGGGCATGAACTCAACTTTTTCATAATGTAGTACAGGTTACGTCGGATCTCCGGTTGTACAATCTGCTTCTGTTGCGGTTCCGCCAGCCGGAAAGAGTCAGCAGCCTGAGGATGATTTGTTGGGATTGTTTTAGCAGGTAGATTTCTCTCTGTAGCCCAGACAGCCCGAGGATGTTTTTTTTTGTGTATCATCTGCGTAGTGTACAATCTTTAGCATTATCTAGCACTGAATTCACTCCCTGCAATACCAACAAATTACTGAGAGTGCTTTCCCATGTGGACAATGCTGTCAGCTGTTTCTGAACTCTTAACCAAGAATACAGTTGAAAGCACTGATCAATTCTGATATTGATCAAAAACAAAGTCTGGATGAGATTGAAACACACCAAAGCTTAGCAAGTCCCTTAATCCATGATCAAGGTAGCCAAATTCAGCATTGAACATACCTCAACTTTGTAGCGCTATGCACTAAATGAGATACTTGTTATAGTATTACAACAGTAGCAATAGTTCACATTTTTTGATACAACATAATGAGTATATCATGAGCTGCAAACGCACGTGCCCATGCAGTCAACGTTGCCCGATTGACGCGAGTTTTTGTGGGCCCGATGTTTATGATCAACCTTAGCTTTGCAATATTATTCTTGTCATGAATAATATACGGATCATCCTGGTAGGTAATGAAGTCAGAATAAAACATAATTGTTGACAAAATACACCAACCACAGTTACGTCCGTAAAATTAGTTCGTACAACCATAAATAACTCAATCAATTGTTGAGAAGTCGCAGGGTGCACATACATTCCAGAGTTGTTAACACAGTTGAATATTTTTCGGAATTGAATCCAGAATGAGCTGTCCGTTATGGGTCGTTGATGCGAATCTCGAAGAATTGTTTGAATTACCAGTATGGCTATTTCATGCCTGATAATGATATGAGAATATGTTGTTTGATTAGCAGAGAGTATTCATACCTGACTGCACCTATTCTGATAAGGTTATGAATGGCCGCAACCTGTGTTTTTATTTGAACAAGATTCTGGGGTGCAAAAACACAATCCACAGCTAGACCCGATATACTAAGTCCAGAAACTTTGATGGTGTTGAATCTGGTTGTGTAGCCCATTACCCAACTATTCACTTCCAAGAAGTCAATGTCAGATGTTGTACTGCTACATTGATGAAATGGTACACAATAACAGTGTTTGTCACCAACGTATCTCGGCACGAGAGCAGATACCGAAGAATACGGATCACAAATGAGCCTAAAATCTGGATGATGCATAATGTTGAATCCACGATTTTTGTATTTCTGTATCGGATACATTTCTCGAGCGTTTAAAGGTGCTTGGATGTCGATCAACATTGTCGTTTTTTCTTCCAAGGTAAGTTTAGAAAAGAAACAGTACGCGGCGCGATGCGTGAAGACATTCATTACGCAGGCTGATAATTCATTAGCTTAGATGTAGAGCTGGAGTGAATAACATTGTTTACGAACTTGAATGGAATGAAAAGATGGATTCTAAAGGTGCACCGCCAGTAGCAATGAGCTGGATTTTGGAAGAGCTCCGCATAAAATTCCAGATATTAACCACCGTATTAAATCGGTATTCATCTGTATCCGCATCTTGTGGAGTTTGACTTGCTCTTTCTTCGTCATATGTCTCGGAGAAGGCGCTATCAAAATCGATAGCCTGACCTTCTTTGGGGCGATAAGAATAGCCATGAGATATCAACCAATCGCCAGCAATTTTGCAGTGCTGAATATTGCAAAATGTATCCAAATCTCCGTGGTAAATTTCTCGATTGAAAAATTCAAGAACAGTCGAACCAGATACCAATAGTCCAGTTGAACTCTAAGCAGCAAAATCATCATTATTTGTCGAAGTGAAAGGTATGATGTGCGTTACCTGCAAAATTTGAAATTCTCCAATTTCTTCGACGTTTAAAAAGTTTCGATAGGCATGTTGAACGCTAAATACTCTTTCCTTGTACTTTCTAACGTCCATGCGTGTTTGTTTACAAGTTTTGCTGAATGAAACAAGATCCGGTAAGGGTAACAAGTCCAGTATGGCTTCCGACGTCTCCAACGGTCTGAATAAACATTGTTGATTAATACCGTGAAAAGAACAGAATTATTTGCAAACGTACAGTGGGTGTTTGAAAGTTTTCTGAGACATGGGTGAAATAGATGGTGTCTTGCTTGTTTATGCAGCAAATTGAAGTGGTACTTAACATGTAGTGAACGTCATTAATTCGTCCTTTGCTATCCCTTAAAAATAGAAGTCGAAATTTGGCTGTTCACAGCAAAATTTCGAAATACCTAATCATAACCTGTAATGTCCGTTGTGATACGGTTGTTATCCTATACGTAGGTAGGTAGGTTAACCGACACAGGCTCCGTTGAGGAACAGCCGGGGGCCGTGCTGTTCACATTACGCTTAGATACATGCTATCTTCCTCGTAGAAAAGGAAAGGAAAACCGTAGTGTAAGGAGCAAATGCGCTATCTACTCAAAAGACATGAAAGATCAAGATGATCCCCATAAAAGCTGATGTTGTTGTGATATTGTTCTTATCCTATAACGTCTATTGTGATATTATTATTATCCTACATTGGCATAGCGAAAAGTAGTATCAATCCTCGCTTCTCAAGGATATTATACTACAGTGTCTGTTTAGTATGAATCTGAGGAGACGCATATAGGTCTGTCTCGGCTTTATCCGGTCAATAGTGATTGAATCAATGATGTACTAAATCCCATTTTGAGAAAGGTATTTGCCGGCCTACAATGTTTCAATTCAATCATACTGTCTAGGTTCCATTTCCAGTTAATATCAGTCAATGTGGTTGACTGATATGGCATGTGTTGTATATTATTGGATACCCTTTCGAAATACAAGCTATGGGTGTCAATGATCCATTTGGGATATGTGTCTGATCAATCATACTGTCTAGGTTCCATTTCCAGTTAATATCAGTCAATGTGGTTGACTGATATGGCATGTGTCGTATATTATTGGATACCCTTTCGAAATACAAGCTATGGGTGTCAATGATCCATTTGGGATATGTGTCTGACATTTCTCATATTTTATTTTCCAGTCTGCATCTGTTCATTGTAAAATTCTAACTGTTAAGTTTCATTCACAAGCTGTTTGACAATATGGTTCCACTATTCAAAATTGTACTGCATGATGTTAGATGTATTGACTATGCTCTTCTTGTATGTTTCCCTGTTTTGATTCTTCTCTTTTTTACTCATCATTTTCCAATGTCAGGTAACTGTTTTGAGAATCTGTGTTACTGATGTCTAAATCATTCTATTTCAAGCAATGTTGGCTTCCTTCCGATCGGCTTCAAATATGATACATGTATTGCAGTGTTTCGTTCAGTTCTACTAACTACCCATGGTGCTTGTCGAATTGCTCAATCGTAACAACACATCGCTCGACTTCAATTCTATACTCTACCGGTTGCCTATAGACATCTGGTGGTATATGTTCACAGTCTATGACCTTGATTTACGTCCATTAGTCTTGGTTTGCAAATTTATGCGAAAAATAGTGGGCAATTTGGTTTTCCGATCTGTGTATTTCCCTCGTCCAGACAAACTACGTCTCGCAAAGAGGACATGGGATTTATCCAAACGGAACGTTACTGCCGACATATTATTTATGCAGATCGGTACACCACATCAATCCGATACCGCTTTGGATTACGTCCATTTTCGACAGAGAAAAAGATGGATTGCATCTTGGAGAACAGCATCTGGATTGCTTTCGAGTTTTAGTCGCTTGACAGAAATCGTATTAGCCGGAGCCGTCCTACCGAGTGACTTTGGCAAAGGTCTTTCCTTGCTAATACATCTGCGCAATCTCGAAGTCAAACGTTGTTGTTGTGAAGGTGTTGCTCACTTCAGTGACGTGAACCTTCCTCTCAGAAGATTGCGTCTAGAAATGATATGTTGGCACGACCAAAATCAGGACTTGGACGTAATTTGTTCATGTGACAGACTTGTGTCGTTGTCTGTTGCATGGCATAGTACGATTGGCAATGAATGGGTTTGGATGGACAGAAATTTACCGACAACTGTGGAAGAACTATCGGTGTCTGCTTCTCAATCATTTTGGTCAAATACCTCACCATTGGATTCAGACACTATGAGCTGTTTATTCACTTTCTTGCAACAATTCCCCAAACTCAGAATTCTTACGCTGCCTAAGGGCATGGGCTGCATGATGCGTAACTCTGACAAACAATGCTCATTTGGCTATAACATCGAACACTACTGTGGACCTATCAGATTTATCCGACACATTGCATCAAAATCAACCCTTCTCATGAATATACATCTTGTCAATCATTGTTTCTACACCATACGGGTAGATGAAGATCTGCCTGATGACTTGGTTGTGGAAAACTTTCATCTTGATATAACTATTTGGGACCCCAAGAGTATAGAGATCCTGATGAAAAAAATATCATGTGTGAAGCGACTATCTTTGAAATGGGATTGGTTGCCGAGAAATATTGTCAGTGTTTTACCAGCTTAATGTAAACTGAACACTAATGATGTTACAGGATACAATGTATGATCCAATTCTGAAGAATTGTATGCATTTACAGCAACTGCACCAACTTATTCTGTCACCGGCTATTTCGATTCAACGAGAGGTGTTGGTGCGATTTCGAAATCAGTGTCCTACTCTTATTTCTGTACATGTTGGATGTGAACAATGGATCTTTGCAAACGATTGGACACTGCAAGTTTCATCTAGCTGAATCAGTGAATGTATACACTGTCACCGAATAATCTGTCTTGCATGTACTACTACCTTTGTCACTTACTATGTTATGATGACCGAAAATTCCTGTTTGTTTCACCCTTGACATTAACTGTATTCAACTTGAAATACTCAATTCTAAATCCATCTTTGCACTCAACATCTGCAAAACTTTTCATCTGTGTAGAAATTTACACCATTCTTATCAACATTCAGAAGGTTACTTACTGGCTTTGAATTCTGTCAGATTCTACCTATACAACTCATATTATAACCATTATGGACACAGAACTTTTGCCGTAACCCGTGCGGCACCAGTCCCACGTAGTGTCGCACAGTTCCGCGTAGTTCCGCGCAACTTTATGCAGTTGCGTGCAATCTGTAAATATACAGTATTGTCTACAAGATCCTCCCACATAGACATATTGCTTCACAATCTGAGCTCCAGACAATGATATTGTACAATGGAGGTCTATAGGTCCAATTTGATTCTCCTATTATGAAATTTTATCTAATACTTAACTTTGTTCTGGTGTTTTACTCACAATGATTCAATAATTGAGAGCAAAGATATGATTGAGCAGATATTCTGAAGCTTATCTGCTTCATAATCTTCACATGTGAGTAATTGGTATTTGTGAGATATTCTATGTAGTCATTGCCCAATACTGCTATGTACCTGATTAGCAACAATCACATTAATAGTTTGAGGGGGATTGTCTGTTTAATGGGACTCTCATTGCTCTGATTGTTGATAATAGAAACTGTCAAAAAGCCTTTGAACTTGATCTAGTTCAATACAATTGCAAGGAACTATAAGCTTACTTCTCAACAGTTTTGTAGAACCCTTCTGAGTAGAGAAATCAAGACATGCTCCCACCAGACCAAAAGGCTGGTATACTCTTCAGCATTATATGAGCTAATCAATGACATGCTACCCTCAGATACCATTGAAATTTCCAACCAGATTGGACAACAGTAATGTACTGCCATTGCAGGTGAAGTAACATATTCTATGCTGTTGTTTGATCCAACTGTCTCAATAAGGAGACTGCTTTTACATCTAAATATCACACAGTATTGTCAAGACCTGTAGTCATTGCCCATCATGTCTAGTAACGGAGGATCAAGCATTTGTTGTCATTGAGAAATAATTGAAAGGTCGGAAGGATAGGCAAATAAAAGAATTGAGGATTTCACTGGTCAATCGAGTTTCCATCGAGATACCAGCACTAAGTAGCTATCATGCAATGATCTCCCTGAAACCTCGAAGCTCAGTTAACATGCGAAAACGACAGCTTCGAGGTGATGCTCCACAAGTCCAGATCTGACATGACCTCTCATTGGTGAGAGTGTTGGAGGCATTGACTCCTGCAATCAAATTGGAGCATGAGCATTGACAGTCCGCAGCCGCGGAAGTTGAAGTCTAGCAGACCAAGACGGCAAGGCTGCATTGGATTTCAATACATCAGCGCTCAGATTATAACGACTCGTAGTGCTTTGAGTCCAGTCACGATGAGCTTGTGTCGCAGGCTCCGAACTGTTCTCTGAGGGCACAGAGCGGCCTTCTGTTCTGTCTAAAAATTTATTGCTCCAGGGCAAAAGACCTCCAAGAGGAATATGTTATACCACGACTCCTTTACCAAGAACTTCAGCCTTCGAAGGGACAGTGTGTCAAAGGGTCCAAAGAATCTGAGCTTAAAAAATCTCACCTCATACATTTTAAACAGGCCAGAGTTGACTTTGCCCCAGTTCGGCACGCCCAAAGCGATTGAATGTAACTGGGATGAGTGCTCGTGGAAAGGACCCTGCTTGACCTCGTGAATACGCATGATCGACATGAAGTATAGATTTGTAGGCGGCAGAGGGGGGTGAAAAACTGCTGACACTGGTATCTTTGTCTGGTGTAGAGTTTTTAAACGGTGTCAAACCAAACGTATTTTTGAACCAAGGTGGAAGCTTAGGACCTTGTAATTGACCACTACCAAAGATATAATCCAAAAAATGTGAATCGTCTACGCCCCAGACGCCATGACTCCCCGCAGGCTCTAAACGGTAAACATCTTGAAGCCTCTAGCAAAGACGGAGATACCGTATGAATACTCTAAGGACCAGTTCACGTTCTTCTTCGACTTCAGGCACATAAAAGCGCGTAAGTGTTAAGCAAATAAGGAATATGGCAAAGGAAATTCCATGGCCAGTGCCACAGTCCATTCTGATGAAAGATCCAAACGAAGTCAAAAAGTATGGCTTAATATGTGGAATAAGCGAGCTATACTCCGGCGGAAGCAGTCGAGATAGCAAACTATCTGATTGCTACAATACAAGAATATTGAAAATTCTACTCATGGAAAGCTAAAGATGAGCTAACCTCTTCCAATCTTGCGCCCCAGATTCAGAAGGCAAGGTTTCCGAACCTTTGTGGGGAGTTGAGGGGTGAGATATCTTCTATCCAGCCATCCAGGGTATCGATCAAAGTTACCATGCTCAATACAGCCTATTCAAAGTAGCATATGAGTCAAGATGAGAACCATAAGGGAAAACTTCTTATGTACTTGTCTACGAAATTTAGAGCTCCATGGAATTGTAATTCCAACCACAGCTTCGTTCAGTCTCCGTAGAAATATGATTAGATCTCGGAATCCTTGAGTCCGCCGCCAAATTTCGACGTCTTCTTCGTCGAAATTTTTCTTCGTTGGCAGCTGAAGGGAATGAATATCTGGAAGGATGATCCTTCGTAACGGATTCCGTGGAATACTTGTCATGGTTTGCATGTTGTGGGTGTAGGAGTCAAAGGAGGTCTGTGCGGTGACACGTGCTTTTCACGCGCGTTGATCATGAGTCACCTTCCCTTCCTCTTACTCTACTCACGTATTAATGACACCATACGATGACTGGAATCGGGTGGACGAAGATGAAGAAGACGAACGACAGGATGTTGCAGTAAGCTACGATGCTCTGGTCTGCAGGGAACTGTAATATTGATGTTTCGCCACAGTTCTTCGACGCCAACAAGGACCTGATGCTGTTGTGCATCGACTGTTCTCCCTCGATGCTTGCTCTTTGACCGGATCCTGAAGACGAGACCAAGATGACAAGTCATCTGTATGCTGCGCTAAACAGTGCAATAAATCTTCAGAAGCGCAAAGTTGTTACAGGCCCGAGTGATTCATTTGGCGTCTTGTTGTTTAACACGGTGAATACCGGCACCTTGGATTTACAAAGAACCTTCCTCATATAGCTATAAAAGACTCGAAATCCAGATACACCGCGTACGCAAGGCTCTGAAATAAAAAAGAACATGTTTCTGTATCAACCTATTGGTCCCATCTCTGTGCCAACAATTCAAGAATTGATCCAGCTTCTCAACGGCGAGAACTATCAACAAGAGTTTTCAATTGGATAATCTGACAAAAGTTACAGCCGCACAAGAGTATTCTGATGAGATACAGAAACAATTCCCCCCTGCGATTCTCGTGTCGCTATGGGGGATGTTTTCACCAGCTGCAATTGGGTAATTCGTGACGGGTGCGCTCCGAAAAGTCTTTCCACGTGAAATGCTAATCACCGCTTCTTAGTGCCCCCAAAACGGTCACAAAACGCGTCTTTTTGATCACTGACGAAGACGATCCTCACCCTTCATCCAAGCAGCTGAAAATCTCTGCACAAATGACTCTTGAGGTGAGAGCTATTCTTTTCATCTTTGAATGAAGCATTATCGCGAAGTAATGAACGTATTTATTGGCAGGATCTAGCACAGGCGGGAGTTATTGTAGAGCCATTCTTTATTCAAGCGAAGACAGGCGTTTCGACGTGACCAAGTTCTATTCTGTGAGCTGCCTAGTGATCTGCAAGTAGCGAAATCAAATGACTTCGTTCTCAGTCTGTGTTGCAAACAAATGCATTTACTGATGATCTCGACTCAGACCCCTCCATCCTCAACCAGTCCATATCCATATCCACAATCGAAGACCTTCTTTCTCAAATGTAGTTCCGCGAAGTGGCAAAGCGGGCGCTCTTCAATGAATCAGCTAATGGGCTTACCATCGGTGTGAAGTGGTGAGCGTTGCCACTCGTTAGTTTCCGTCAATATTCTGATTATTGTCGAAATTACGGCCTTGTGACGGAACAGAAAAAAGGGGAATACAAATATTTCGTGGACTTGGGAGACCGATTGGAGGCGACAACAGTCAAAACAGGACAACTCGACCCGACGAAGTGAGGATCTATATTTTTTGATAATCCCAATTTCTGTGTTCAAAAGTCGATGTTAGGATCCGGAACTCGAAGTCGATAAATCCAATGGCAGTAGTTGGAGCCGCTCCAAGCAATGACAACGATGCCAAAGACGATAGTATGGCAGCAACTGAGGTCATAAAATCTGGCCAACGGGCAAGTATTCTCTCTTACCCCGCTATCCTGTGATATGAACATGAATATTGTCCCAGCCGTTTTACACTGCAGATGAGATGAGATCCTTCCGTACATTCGGGTTGAAACCTGGTGAGTCATGCCTTTGAAGCGTACTCAAGCCAATCCCGACCGATATCCTTCCCGGTAGGCTTGAAACTCTTGGGTTTTAAACCACGTGACACGATCAAGTTCGAGGATAATGTCAAGCATTAACGCTCTTCTTATACCCTGAAGAAAATGTATGATGGACATGGTTCCTTCTCAGACATCTCCCATCTGACACGGCCGACGTGTTCTTTGACTTCTGACTTGCGCTGCTTCCAAACGCACCTTTAGTGCTCTCTTAAAATCAATGATCAAGAAGAAGGTGGTAGGTCTAGCGAGAGAAGTTTTACGACGAAATCCTACCCCAACAATCTACGCAGTACTTCCTCAGGTATTGAGAATCGACTACTCGCCTAGGTGTAGTCTGAGTTCTTTTTCACAGGAAGAAGATGTAGATGAGATGGAGCCCGCTGGATTCCATATCATTCGCTTACCCTTTGCAGACGACATTCGCTCTGCACCTGTAGATGAAGGCTACATTGGTGTGTTCATGCTCTTTCTATACTGAAGTTTCTTCTAATATTTCTAGCTTCGGATGAATTGAAGGACAAGGCTCGGGCTTGGATAAACAAGACGACAATCAAATCTGGTTATGTACCAGATTCCTATCCCAATCCCGGTATGTCCCATGATTGAAAAAGCATCTTGAGCCTCACAAATATGCGATAACAGCCTTAACCTTTCCCTATGATCAACTAGAAGCGAGTGCATCGTGAAGAGTTTAACCCAGATGCTTTTGAAGATTTAACTGAACCGAATGTTGACCTTATCCACGCTGTAAGCGACTATTTGTTATTTATCAATGTGCTTCAACTTACCGATGCACAGAAAGCGGGGAAACTCTTGAAAGAATGGAAAGTTGAACTGGCTAATGACCATAGCGCGACTTTGGTCGTTCCCGTTACTGGTTCAAAACGAAAATCAGTATGTATTACAATATCTTAGTCCAGGTAGGTAATTACTTTATCTCATGCTCCTGCTTATATAGGAAGACACATCTAACGACGGTATTGACGTGGCGGAGATCAAGACCAGGTTTGAAACGGGCTCACTAATGAAGGTCAGTCCAACCTTACTATCTTTCTCATGTGTGACTTTAAGCCTTTACTTTTCTCCAGTTGAAGGTTGATCAGTTAAAGGTAAGATCTATTCCCAGTCGTACTACCTTCACCCAGTAAACCTCGTCCAAGGCATTCTGTCGAAGCCAAAATCTTTCGACGTCAGGGAAAAAGCCGATTTGATCCTGCGGGTCGAGGATTGGTGCAATTCACATTGATGGGGTGTACACCTGGAAAGGAAAGAAAAGTTTATTGTACACGATCGTCATAAGTATGCATATCGTGTTTGCGTACCAGATACTCACTCCGAGAGTTGAACACTATATAACACGAGTCGACGGTGTGGGTGCGGATCGATACGATATACGACGAGTGGCTAGTACATAAGGGTAGGTAGCTAAGTCATGTATCCTCAATATAGTAAGCAAAGGATATAGAAGGAAAAACATAAAGTTTAATATGATAAAGTATGCAGTATAGTGTATAGTCAGTCAATCTGTCTTTCTACAACCGATTCCAGGGATGACCGATGATCATTATGCAGGTGTGGTACTTGCACCATTGTCTTTGAGATTGTTGAAGGATGAAAGGATGAACTCCCAACTGACGCATCACCGAGACTGCTCAGTCAGTCCCCCATCAACGGCTGAAGCGCTGATAGGTTATCTATGTACAGGCTTTCTCTACGCTCGCCTACGGTATTCTATTGGCAATTTCAGTCATTCATTCAGGTTGACATTTGGCAGGAATGAACATGGCAGTCCCAACATGGGCATATCAAAAGACCAATTTGCAAGTACAGCAAAGGTTGCTGGGCACAATGCTGAGGTCTGCTATCATGACAAAGAATTCAAGTCAACTCAATATCATTTCTCATCTTCTTATGCTAGGGGGGTTAGAGGTAATTTATTGACTGAGTAATGTCTTGTGAATGTACTATAAATATATGTACGAGACAAAGTATGTGATCGATTCTGAAGCTCCAAAGTCCTCGAAAAATAACGTCCACATGTCTGTAGAACAATTGCAATAACCAATGAATGGCAAAAGAATGGAATCTGTTTACAAAGAGAGATTCTAGGACGTTACAAAATCTACAACGAATGTGTGGCCAACCATGTACCATTTCATATAACTGGTAGGAGAACTTCATCAACCAAAGGTTCAAAACAATCTGTGTATAAAAGAAAGATCAATAATTATATACCCTGCCGACTCCTAAATACGCACCGGTAGGAATAGGTGACATCCAACAACCAAGCTGAGCGGTATGATCAACGCCCAGTCCCACCCAAGAATCTGCCAAGCAAAGGGAACCGCGTCTGTGGTGAACACTACCATCATTGCAATAAGCAGAAGGCAAATGATGATAGAAAGCTTGAAGTTCTTGATGATACGAGGCACTTCAATCCAAAACGTCGATTTCTCGACTTCCTTTCCTGTGGAGCCCCAAGTCCTACGCAAAGAAGGCCACCCGATCATCAATATACAATGTGGTCAGAAAGAATGATACAGATTTTGAACATACATATCATACGAGAAGAGATGCACCAACATAGCAGTCGAAAGATGGGTACTCAAACCTCCAAAGAAAAACAGCCTGTGTTTCATCAACTTCTAAACACTGCATGGTCACTAGAACACTCACAAGAACGGAACCCATCTCAGATTCTCCACGGCACTGCTCCAAATACTTCGATGTCCGAGACGATATTCCAACATGGTGAAACCGAGGTTTCCCAGGGAAGGGAACACCACCACACAGGCAAGGAGAATTTCGAACGAATGCAAATAGAACCGGTCGAGGTCGGGGCCAAGGCCGAGCAGAAGGTAATTCAGAATCGACCCAATGGTAGCGGCAACGATACCATCTACAGACAATAGTAAGGAGAAGGGATCAACGTTGAGCCTGTGCAAAAATTTGTGCAAAAATTTGGATACTTACAATACGAGAACATGCAACTACTCATGCCTATGTGTACACCATATATTTGCATTACTTATCTGGCAAGTGACACAGACAACAAAAGACGTAGTGACTCGCCTATCTTGTAATGAACAGGCGCAGCAGACTGCATGAATTCTCGAAGTTGTTTACTGATACGTCCGTGTCTCCACCACTTGATGAGTTGGTTGAAGATGATCTCATCACAACCTATAAGAACCAATTAAATCAACAGCTTGAACGTGAATGGATGATGAACACGCACCATAAACGTATTTCTGCCACCTCGCTAATTCATCTACCATAGTCAAACTCACACCCCCTTCGAAACCACCCTGCGAGTATCTCGCCCATCGCAACGTATAACCTGTCAGCAACAGCCTAAGGGCAAAATCGAAATCCTCTGAAATGTTTGCTTCAGACCACATCTTCCGTCGACCGTCAGCGGGATCAATGAACTACAATAAAATAGAACATCAGATAAGGCGTCGAAATCCTGCATAATACGTGAGAAGTCAAACTTACGCTAGTATCCTGAACGGCCTTCCATTGCAGGAATACGTTATGACCAACGAATGGCGCGACTTCTCCGTTCGCACACCCGTATGAGATACATCTGCAGAAAACACAAAGATAGGCTTGTAAGACATCGAATGAGCCAGTAAAAATGACGAGTTTACTTATGAATCCTCCGTGTGAAACGAGTGATACCATTCTCAAAGTAATAGCGTGCGACTTGCATGACGTCTAAGTGGAAAGAGTAAATCGACCTGATATAGAAGATCCAAGCTAGAGGTTGGACTCACCACTCTCATGCTGATTAATGACAACCTCCTATCCTCCATCTTCACCCATTTCCCATGCGGCATCTCGGAAACAGTTCTCTGGCACAACAGTATCCGCATCAATGATTAAAATAATCTCTCCAACGCGCAAACTCCGAGTTCCTCCAGCCCATGGACGATGATAAACCACTTCCTCGGTCTCCTTGCCCGACTCATCGATGACCTTCTTCACCGTACCAGACTATTGGTAGATCTGCTCGATGGCAAGCTGCAGTGCTCGTTCCTCGAGTGACTCGATGCTTTCAAAATGGGGTTGAAAAGAGGTACAAGGACTGCTAGCGCTGATGTTCGGTCTGCTGGTTTCGCAACGATCACTGGAAGAGAATGTGGAGTTGTTGACACTAGAAGCATCGCCGATGAGTTTTGCGTGTTGTTCCATGACAATACTCAGAGCGAGTCCGTAATTCATCTTACTCACTTTTTTCAATTTACCCGCACGTTTGAAACCACCTGGACCAGAAGAGTGACGGGGACATGCGACCCAGCCGATATTGTGGTTGGCGTAGAACTCCAGTCTGTAAGGTAAGGTAAGGGAGTAGTCAGCAAATGGGAAAAGCTTATATAAATCATACCTTTTCTATTTATCCTCCTCCGGAATTATTTGCAGACCATCATCACAAATAAAGATAGAACTGGTTCCCCCCTACCGATCATACGTTTGCATGGCTTTCTTGATTGAGTATACCGAAGGAGCACTAGTAGCGAATCAGCTTAAGCACAAAAGAAGAAAATATCCAGAATACATACATCGTCAATTCCAAGCTCTCCTTGTAAACAGGGCACTGAATCATGATATGAGGAAGCCCACCGACCCGGACTTCTATCTGAAGTTCCCGTTCCACCTCTTTTAAATCACCTTCAGTCCCATTTTCGCTGCTGTTCCTGACAACAATTTGTTCAACAGTCTCACTCCATCTAGCGGCACCATCGATCTTGGCGTTCGGCTTTGGACATTGAGCAGAGTAGTAGGCACTGTTTTCATGATATTGTGCTACCGGTCCAAGAACGAGAGAAAGATTTTCCATAAATTGTATACAAAAAAACTGGGAAAAGCAACTTCATCTGAAACACTTCGCATTGAGAAATATACACATTACTCACTATGCTGACGGCGGCAACTATAGGCAACACCACAACTAGTCCAAACCGACGTGTATCACCATCCAACACCCTGTCACGAAGCGGCAGAGGCGGAGTGACTAACGGAGCGGGAAAGCGGAGCGACTGAGCAGAACGGCGAGGCGGAGCAACTGAACAAGGCAACAAGGCGGAGCGACTAAGCAGAACGGCGGCAGGCTGGTCCCAGATAATGACAGAGATATATTGAGTATCGTAGTTATAGGTAATAATAAGTAAGCACATACCTGGTCCCAGATAATGACAGAGAGGTCAAGATAAGGGACCAGGCTGTGGAGGGTTGGCTATATATACATAATCCGGTCTGCGAGAAACAACGATGTAATACTGTACAGTTTAGGAACAAGGAAGGTGGCGGAAGCCAGTAGAAGGAGAAGATGGGTCAGGTGGATCAGTAATCGATGGATCAGTAATCGATGGGGGTTTGACAGTGATGGGATGATGGATCGTACAAGTAAAGGCGTCGAGACGGTGAGAAAAGGAAAATGATAGGGGCTGCGTACTTTATGACATTACCCCCCTCCTTATGACCATTGCCCTCGATGGTCAAGGCTTTGCCGCCGTTGGGTGTTTTTTATGAAAGGCCCGAACAATTTTTGGTGCTCGACTGAGGTTGGCTGCGGGTTCCCAAGAGTTGTGCCCTGCGTCGTACCCTTTCCACTTAACCAAATATTCCAACTTCTTCCATCGAACCCGGCTGTCTAAGATCTCCTCTACTTCGTATTCCGGTTCATCTTCATCCTCTAAGTATACCGGCTCTGGTGGTGTTGGTATTTCGCCATTTATGGAGTTACCTTTCCAGGGGTATAGTTTATCAACATGGAAGACGGGATGGAGGCGATCTAGGGATAGGGGAAGGTCAAGGCGGTAGTCTAAAGGGCCAATTTTCTCCAGAATGCGATAAGGGCCAAGCTGTCGATCTCCTAACTTTTCACTGGAAAGCTGAAGGTTAATGTCCTCTGCACTGAGCCAGACTAGGTCTCCAACTTTAAATTGATGAGCTTTCCGCTTCCCGCGTTCGTATCCCTCCTTCTGTTGTTTCTTTCCTAGGTGTAAGGCAGCCCCGGCATCTTGTCGCACTTCTCGGAGAATCCGTATACGGTCATCCACAGCTGGAATACCACTGCGTTGGCCCACTGGGATATTGAACAGGGGAAGATAGCCGTAGGTTAGCTCGAACGGGGACATGCCTAGAGCAGAATGAGTCCGTGAGTTAATCACGAACTCCGCCATGGGTAGGTGCTCTGCCCAGTCATCTTGTCGTCGTCCCACATAGAGGCGGATGTATTTCTCTACTTCCTGATTTGCTCGTTCGGTTTGGCCATTGGACTGAGGACGGTATCCGGAGGTTAGATCTGATTTAATTCCTAGCCTAGCGAGAAGGGATCGCATGAGTTTAGCTGCAAACTGGGGTCCGCGGTCGGATTTAAAGTGAAGAGGAAGACCATGGAGACGGAAGATCTCTCGGTAGTAAATATCGGCAACGCCTTCGGCTGTGATGGAGCTGGTGCAAGGAATAGCGTGAATTTGTTTTCCATACAGGTCTGTGCAAACCAAGACAGCATCGTAGCCTTGGGAGTTAGGTAGCTGTGTTATCAGGTCAACCCCTACCTCTTCCCATAGACCGGATGGTACATCTAATGGCTGAGTTACGGCCCGTGGGTGTCGCTGGATCTTCTTACGGGCACAAACCTCGCATCCTTCAACGTATTTTTCCACAAAAGAGCGCAATGTGGGCCACCAGAAATGAGTACTGACCAAGTCGAGTGTCCCATGTAGTCCGGGGTGTCCTGCAGTTGGATGGTCATGGCATTGACGGAGTACCTCAGTGCGTAGGTCGTCGTTTGCTGGTACGTATACTCGACCTCGGTAGTAGACCAACCCATTGTCCTCTTCCCATTCGGCTATCCCATTGGCCAAGCGCTGTAGTCCGTGCTCTTTGACTGTTTTGAGACCCTCCAATACCTGTGCTTCCCGTTCTGAGGCTTTCCGGATACGATCCTCTAAGGGGTTCTGTAGGATCGAAGCTGCAATTTTTACAAAGTGGCCAGGTTTAAGGACTGTCTGTTGCCGGTTATCATCACTGTCCGATACATGATGAACTGCCATGCGGGAGAGAGCATCAGCTTGGGTGTTTACTCTGCCAGGGCGGTGGATCATATGAAAGTCAAACCGTGACAGATAGAGGGCCCATCGGGCTTGTCGGCGGGTGAGGTCTTGTGCAGTGCGCCAGAATTCGAGGTTCGAATGGTCCGTAATGATGTCGAATGGTTGAGGGAGTCCTTCTAGAAAGTTCCTCCAATCCTTCAGTGCTTCAATGATAGCAAGCATCTCTCGATCGTAGATTTCGTAGTTCCGTTCCGCTGGCTGCATGGATGCCGATCTGAAGGCTACCGGATGCCATTGGCCGTCGTCTTGCTTCTGCATAAGGGCACCTCCCGTGGCAAAGCCTGATGCGTCTACCTCAATTCGAGTAGGCCTGTCTGGTGTCCATAGAGCAAGGACCGGTGCGGAGATGAAGGCTTCTCGAAGGGTGTCGAATGCGTTCTGTCGAGTGTCGGTCCAGGTAAAGCTGGTGTCTTTCTTCGTCAGGTCGTTCAAAGGTCGTGCTATTTTGGCGAAGTTCCGGATAAAGCGTCGGTAGAAGTTTGCAAATCCCAAGAACCCTCGTAGTTCCCGAAGATTAGTAGGGACTGGCCAGTCGCGAACAGCCGCTACTTTTACCGGATCCATTCTCACCTCCCCTTCTGAGATGATGAGTCCGAGGTATTCAATCTGTTGTTGTTCAAATTCGCATTTTTCGGGTCGTAGGTAGAGGTCGTGCTTTTCTAACCGAGTTAATACTTCTCGTACCGTTCGTCGGTGTTCCTCGAGATCGTTACTGAAGATAAGGATGTCATCTAGGTAGACTGCCACCTTGCCGGCTGCAATGAGATCAGCAAATATAGCATTCATAAGTGCTTGGAACGTGGCAGGGGAATTTGTGAGACCAAAGAACATAACCTTAGGCTCGAACAAGCCTCGGGTTGTTGCAAACGCGCCTTTCCATTCATGCCCCTTCTTAATCCGTATGTTATTATAACCCCAGCGGACATCAAACTTCGTGAAGTATCTTGCTCCCTGAAGCCGGCTAATGATGTCAGCAACTAATGGGAGAGGGTATCGGTTCTTCACAGTGTACTCGTTCAGTTTCCGGTAATCTTGTACAAAACGGAGTTTCCCATCCTTCTTCTTTACGAAGAAGACCGGTGATGAGATTGGTGATTTTGAGGGGACGATATAGCCTTTCCGTAGGTTTTCTGCTAGGAACCGATCCAACTCCTCCTGCTCGTTTAGGGACATGGGATAAATCTTGGTACGCATGGTTGCCGGTGCTCCAGGTACGAGATCAATTGCATGGTCCCAAGGTTGGTGGGCAGGTAATCGTTCGGAGGCGGATTCTGAGAAAACCTTCTTGAAATCACGATACTGCTCAGGGACCATTTCTTCGAAGGTTTTAACGGGTTTGTCTCGGTTGGCTTCCTCTGCTAGCTGCTGGGAGTAAGTGAATCCTGCGGCGCACCAGACTTCCTCTGTCTGTTCCTCTAGAATTCCTGCTTTTACCCATGCGCGGCGAGTTTTATGATTGGCTCGAATTCGGTGTATTGGTAGTTCTTCAACTGCTACTGATTCGCTCTGTTCAGGGGTCGCTTCTGGTGGCACCTCAATGTGGGGGTTTTCTGCGGGAGATTCCGGTTCCGGGAGTTCGAGGATCGGGCTTTCTGTGTGAGTGGCGGCTAGATGAGAGTACGAGATCTCCTCATCTGGGACTTCTTCTATCGTTACTCGAGGAGGCTTTACTGAGAGTCGTCCTTTCTCCCAATCAATCTCCGGGTTTACCTTTCGTAGCCAGGGGAGTCCAAGGATGATGTCTTCACCCCCTAGGTTGGTGATCAGAAAGTCCATCCATCGCTCTTGATTATCCACTGTGAGTGCTAGACGTGCAAAATGGGTTATCCGTCCAGCTCGGTTAGGTGTTCCATCGATATTAAAAACGTCGATTGGTTTATGGAGGGGTGCACATTTTACGTGGTTCCGGGTGGCAAAGTCTTGGTTTAAAAACAGGGCGGTAGCTCCACAGTCTACCATGGCTGCAGTTGTTATACTATGATTCCTTCCTCTTAGTCTCGCATGAATTCGGAAATGTGGGGAAGTGGAGTTTAATTCCCGGATCGACGATATTGTACATGATGGGTGCGAGTCATACGAAGAAGTAGCGAACATAACAAACTGATTACGGGGTACTCTCGGTGCAGCCGAAGCGGGTACCCTCTTTAAAAACCCTGTTGAAAGCCAGAGGACGAGGAGGACATAGCGTTAGCACGATCAAGTAATTCCCTTATTTGACCAATCTGATTGGAAAAGTCCTGGTTAGGAGGGCTCGGAGTAGCAGCTACAGGTGCAGGAGCAGATGTTGGGGTCGAGGACGCGATTTGGACGGATTCGTTTGGGAATAGGGAGAATGGCGCAGGTCCCGTAGCAGATATCTGTTGGCGTCGAGGTTGCTGGCGTCGGCCTCGGTCTCGTCCGAGTCCCATGAATTTGTCTTGGCAGACTGCTTCCAGATGTCCTCGGCGTCCACAGTAGCGGCAGGTGGTTTCTCGGTGTGGGCAGTTTTGCTTGACATGACCTTGGGCACCGCAGCCGAAGCATCGTCCTCGCATGCGAGCTAGGAATGCCTCCCTAGTATTCCCATTACTGGTGTGGGTTGCATCAATGTCCATAGCGTGGGGGTCGACAGGGGTAGTATGAGCGGTATGCGTGGGAGGATATCCAGAGTTCCGGCCAGTCATGGTGGGATCGTGCAGGTAGACATCCACTGATATGGCCCGTTTGATTGCCTCCTTCAGAGTCGGAGCAATTCCTTGGGCAATGTTTACGGTGATGAGGTGTTGTCGGATCTCTGGGAGTAATGCAGTGAAGAAACGTTCCCGCAAGTCAATATCAGACATTTCAGTCCGATCTCCGATATCCTTGAACTTCTGAGCAAATTCCGCAACTGTCTGTCCTTTACTTTGCCTGAGATTCTTGATCTCGCTACGGGCTTCCATACCTGGGTCCATTGGTTCAAACCGTTGGCTAAATTCCTTCAGAAACGCCTCCCAATTTCCTCCGAAAGGGGGATTTTCTGCATTGAAATGTAGCAGATGGGGAGTTGCCCAATCTCCGGCACTTTCTGTGAAGAAGCCCAAGGCGGACTTGATGAGCTTTACTTGGCTTTTGGCGAGATCTGGTTGTTCTGACGCCCAATTCTGGAACTGAGCCATGAAGCGACGGGCTTCAGCGCCATCTTTACCCTTGAAAACCTCGGGTTTGTTCATGCTTGACTTAGAGGATGAGCGTTCCTCCATAGCTGTAGCAAGGTTAGCTACTTGTCTGATGAGCTGAGTCATGAGATCCTCCGCAGAGGTGTTTGGGGCAGGCGGGATAGGAGTCGACATGATGGGAGTAGGCAATCGGGGCTGAGGAATCGGCAGGAAGGTTATATTGCTCACAGTGAGTGGCTCTCGGATTGAGTTCGAAAGGGCGTTGGGGCAAGGTTGGGACTGGCAATCACGCCAAGTATCGTCGTTGTTATGGGCGTGAGCTTGGTCTCTGGGGTCAAGTGCGTGCGGGAGTGCGGAGCAGTCTATACTGGCAACAGGTGTTTCAGAGTCGGGCGGAACTGGGGAAGACGTGGTGTCTATAGACCCTGCAAGGACAACCTTATCGGTAGGCTGTCAGTGCAGTAATGGATCTTGACCTAATGTCACGAAGCGGCAGAGGCGGAGTGACTAACGGAGCGGGAAAGCGGAGCGACTGAGCAGAACGGCGAGGCGGAGCAACTGAACAAGGCAACAAGGCGGAGCGACTAGGCAGAACGGCGGCAGGCTGGTCCCAGATAATGACAGAGATATATTGAGTATCGTAGTTATAGGTAATAATAAGTAAGCACATACCTGGTCCCAGATAATGACAGAGAGGTCAAGATAAGGGACCAGGCTGTGGAGGGTTGGCTATATATACATAATCCGGTCTGCGAGAAACAACGATGTAATACTGTACAGTTTAGGAACAAGGAAGGTGGCGGAAGCCAGTAGAAGGAGAAGATGGGTCAGGTGGATCAGTAATCGATGGATCAGTAATCGATGGGGGTTTGACAGTGATGGGATGATGGATCGTACAAGTAAAGGCGTCGAGACGGTGAGAAAAGGAAAATGATAGGGGCTGCGTACTTTATGACACACCCATTCCTCGATGAGGTCCGAAATACCAGCTGCAGCGAAATACATGGTCAATGCAACACCGCAACCTGCGTAAAAAGGACCGAGGAGGACAACTTGACGGGGTTCGGGACCAATGTCAGAGCCTTCTTCAAGAGTGGAGGCATCTGAGAACTATGTCAGATTTTGACATACATTACAGATCTACGATCGTAGTACTCGAAGGACATACCTTTCTCTGACTGAGCAGGGGCAGGTGGCTGCAGTTTCCACCATGAGAGAAACGACCAGAATGAGCTCTTCTTAGTCTTTTTTGACACCTTTTTAGGCTGTACAACCTTCTCCTTCTGATCCTGCTCACTCGCAGCGCTAAAGCCAAAATCACAGTCGAAGGGAGATCCGGCAAGCTGCCGGTGTGCATCACAAGTGATCCAGTTGGATCAAAGCAGCCTGGAGTATTACTTTCCCTCCTCGGAGTACTTCTAATGCGCCAAATGTACTTGATTAGCTTCTCCTCGAACTCAGTCCACAATGGAATTACTTGATCCACCAAAAATGCCCAGACCACGAGGGTATGGTCCAAGCGAATGAAGGCAGCGCATTGTTCCCTCTCTGCATCGCCCAAAGCGCTGACGTCGGGAAAAATTTAAATGCGCGTGTTTGATTCGATGAGAATCTCCCTCGCCGTAGGCGGTGAACGAGACAAAGCAGCATGAACACTAGCACTGCGAATCTTGACAGCCACTTCAACGTTGAGGCGAGGAACGCCTTCCTTGAAGGGAATGAGTTTGGGATTCTCGTATGGAAAGCACCGGAAGGACGTTGAATCTACACGTAAACAAACACCAGTGCAATCCGTATCACCAGCCGGTTTGAACCAATTATCCTGCAGCGTATTTTCATATATATTATGCAGGAGAGCGTCAAACGCATCGTAGTCGTTGTTCAGAATCGTAAGCGAGTGTGAAAGAGAGTATGACTGGGCATCGGACGCAGAGTTTGAATGAAAGGGATGGACAGGGTGCGCCTGTGGTTGAGAGTGGACTTGGTTGGGAGACGCCACTTTCAACAGGTTCGGGAGGAAGAAAAAGAGGAAGAACCAAACAGAAGACAAGCAAAAAGTTCCTTGATAAAAGAGACCTCGGAAATGACGGCGTACGTATAACACCGGCCCTTCTTCAGCCTTATTCCTACTACGCCTCAACACCTCTCAATCATTATGTAAAACGCTTCGAGTTCCTGGGGCCTTAGAAGACAACATCTAAAATCTATGCCGTTACAAAGCATCACAGTCATTGTCAACGTCGCCTAACCACATTCAAAGAAAGCGAATAGTATGTGCCATAACGCTATCTCGAATGAATGGCACGTCTCGGTCGAGAGCTGATATCTTGAAACTTCGAATGATGAACATCGGAGAACGGGCAATCGCTGACAGCTCCCACAGCCCGAGAGCAGGAACGACCATTTTTTTTCGGACAGCATGGACCATGAAAATCTGTACACACTTTTGGTTGTATTATCAAAGCCGCTCATCAGACTCGAGTCAGGCTAGTAGGAGAACAGAGAGGAAAAAAAACATCATCAACTCACACGTGTAATCGAAAGCAGGAATTTTGTCTTATCTATTCTTTTTCAGCCGCAAAAACCGCGTCAGTCACTTAGTCACTTCAAGATAACAGAAATAATACATACCAGATCAAGCTTCACCTCCATCCCGATCAGTACGACATTCTGTTATCTCGGTCTTGGAGGCTCGCGTCGTATCTAGTCACTAGTGTAGAAGTTCTCGGCAATAACTAGCAGACGACTTTGCTGCCGCCACTACAGAGTTGACCGACAAATGTCCTTTCGATGTTGACTCAAAAAAAAAGAGGTGGACTGTGTACGTTGAAGCAATTGAAAACTGACAGGAATAAACTATGATGTACCGTAGGGAAACATCGAATAACGTGGAGACCGATGACCGAAAGTATCTCTTCTGAAGATCTGATCAATATCATCCAAAATTGAAGAGAAGGTAGAAGAGACAGCTGGAACGGACTTGAGTCAATACGTGAATATGGACATAAGAAGTTATCAACACATAGTAAGTTGTCTGGGATCACTTCAAATGGACTGAGACAGCTACAGTGATGATAGCTCAATCCGTGAAAAAGGAACCGAGAAAATTCACCTCGAATTCTTTGATAGTAGATCGGGAGACCTTGAACTTGATCCGGGTTTATGAGAATAGGTTCCTGGCATTTGAGAATAACCTGCTTTAGAGCCCCTGCGCAAGGAGTACCAGGGCCAGAAGACACCAGGGGAAATCAACAGTGTGACCTAGGACCAAGGCAACGTCCACACATGGTCGAAATACCAGAAGACTTAAAACTATGTAGTACCTCCTGAACCTCTGCTGGTCCCTCAAGTAAGCCTAGGAATTTGGGAGTTGACGCACGCAACCAGCTTTTACTAACAACAACAACAAAGACTCTGACTAAACAGATGCTCTCCCTCAAGCTATTAATGTCATTGTAGTCAATCATTTCTTCCTGCTCTAAAACACCCTCAAAGGAATTGACAATTGCCCCTCATATAACTACTGCAACGACAGTCTCAGATGCAACACATCTCTCCTCCCAAACAGAGCAATGTTACTGGCTGAATAGTGCTCTCCAGCATCAAAAGCACCGAAAGCAAGATTTTCCAGTTGCTCTGGCTGCTTTGGTGGTTGGAAAGCGCTCTGAGCTGCTCTTAGATGATCAACCAAAGATAAATATTTTGCACATGCTCATGGAGACAGATCCATTGTCACACATTCCAGTCTGACAAAATCTCACCTACAACATCTCTACCTCTTCTCTGCACCACAAAATAAACCAAAAATTGCCACACCGACCATAACAATTACATGATAGTCAATCTACACTCTACCTTCTGCTCTATTTACTACGAAGATATGAAATTTGTAAAGTCATCAATCAATTCCAAACAACTTAGCACCATGCTTAGAGTTAATGTCATTTCACTCATTCTAACTCATATGAACTGCAGACAAAGATCATGATTCTTGAATAGTTTCTACCAAACAAATTCAGCTCCTAATATTGTCACATAAAAATCTATACAACTACAATTTTGAAACTATCACTTTTACAAAACAAAATTTCAATTACTCCTTGCTCTTAATTTCCTTCTTTCACCAAAACTCCATGAACATCCTTGCACTCTTCCTTCAACTCAAATCAACAAACATTTCTTCAGTGGTTTCCTCTTCTTCACCATCCATATCAACTACTCCTTTCTTCAACTCTAGACGTTTTGATTTCCTCAAACTACCACTAGGCAATGAACCCGCACCCCGTTTAGCCAACGACGTTGTAGAAGAATTCTTCGTCGTTTTAACACGCAATTCGTCCAAGCGCTTTTTCTTTGTATCAGCTAAGGACTTTGCTTTCGCCATACTTTGTTCCAAACGAAGAACTTCTTCTCGTCGAGACAACTCCCGAGCTTCCTCTGCTAATCGATTTTCTTCAGCAAGACGATCAATATCATCGGCCCGTTTAAGTGCCTCGGTATGAAATAAAAGTCGCATATCATCTTCATCTTCTGGCAACACACGAAGTTTGTGGATAATGTTCGAACAAATATGATTTGGTTTATTCACTGCTTTCCCATTACTTCCCTTAGTGATATCCCAACTAAACTAGTTGTCAAAACAAGCATTACTTTCATATGTTTCAATCCACTCACAGATGAAAGTTAAATTCGACTGAAACAATGCGGCCACATGTAAGAACCTGATCATAATCCATGGGATGCACCAATGCCCCCTGTGAATCGTACACATCAGGTATGTGCATGCGAACAGAGGATAAATTGTGTCGTTCTGCAAGAGACCTAATAACTCCTTCCGAATCCGGCCAATGACCTAACAACCTTTCCCTTATGTCCACTTCTGTAAACAGATAAAATAAAACCATCATGATTAAATCAACACAAAGCACATACCACTAACATCCTTGTCAGTAATCAGTGCTTTAAGATTCTTTTCCTTCTCAGATGATTTTAACTTCCCTGGTATACACATAAAAAATAACTTTGTAATAAAATAAAGGAATCACCAACTTGGATCTGGTAATTGTCCACGAATATTCATCATGGCAGTCGATTGCCTAGTCCTTCGTCCAGGAACATTGTGAAATATATTTGTGGTTTTGGCACGCAAACCGTAGTGACCAAAATCATGCAGATCAACAAATGTACTCATGCTGATACTTTGCTGAGGATATAACTTCTCTATAACATCTGTCAATATAATGTTCATAAAATTTACACAGACCCTCACCATCAATAGCCTTCACCGAATCAAGATACTGCATAGTAACTTCTTGCAGCACGTTCAACAACTTTTGAAACCGAGAACTATGCGCAGTATATATGTTTGCAATTTCGTCCGAGAATTCCTCAGATGAAGACACTTGATTGAAAAACAAACGAGCAGAAGCTCTTCGAAGTGAATCCAGATTGATCTGAAGCAAACACATCAACATTATTTTATTGGCCATCAAATTCATAACATACCTCTTGATTATACACGTTCATATCAAGATATTCACCACATTTCAAATCATCTGCATATGGACTAATCTGAGCTACCACAGCAACAGATATAACCTCTCTCCCAGAATCGACAAGCCACAAACCACCATGATCAGATAAAGAAGCAACGCGCTGCATTGACATAGCCGAAACATTCGGAATAGAATTATGGGAAAACACGTCGTTTAAGAAATGCATAACCATGTCAAGTGGCTTTAACACTTCAAGGTTTCCAGCAATCAATTGCTCCACTTGATCATACAATGTTGAACGACTATGGAAATCCAGAGATGTAAAGCTGCGCAAATCTGTTGACTGAATCATGCCTCAAAAACATCAACAAAACACCATACACAATCAACGAAGACAGAAATCATTCACTCACATTGACCGAATCCCCGTGCAAAACATCCTATCAAACAGGTAAATCCATTTGATTACAACCATCACACAGAGTCTACTCACCGACATTATGTTGACAAGTTGGCAAGCAAGCAAGAGATAAAACACTTGCAACTAAGACCTCCACTTATATACCAACCGACATCGGTATTGTCCGTACCTACCATTACTCATTCGAACAAATTTTTGCTGGCCGCTGAAAACCGACGAAACAAAGACCAAAAAGGATACCTATCCAGCATGTCAACTGATCACCAACACCTCGACAAAGATGCATAGATCCAAGCCATAAGATCAAATTGAGTTAATGAGTCTCACATTCAAATCCGACAAGAACATTCAATCAATCTAAATCAATTCATTCATCGCTAAATGCCGCTGGCAACAGATGCAGATCTTATTTGATGGCAATAGCAGTACCCTTTCTATATCGATTAAGTTTCCTCCTGCTGAAGTCTTCATTTAGAAAATGTATCTATCCTTGTCCAGTCTGAATCAACGGTCACTAAAGACAACAATCCACTTCCTCTGTGTATTTCTTCCATCGAGTTCAAATCCCTTGTCTACTCGCCATAACATCATTACCACGCATCTCAATCTCCAGAGAAAGAACATTTTCCCTCTGAACCTCAACTATTGTGTCACTCAACATTTTCTAACAAAGTAGCACACATCCTCTCTTCAACATATGTACAACGTAATAGAGAAAGATCTCAGCCGATGGTTTACATTCACTATGCCCCAACATTCCCGCAAACCATTTCAAAACCACAATGGCGATCACACACCAACCCGAATCTTCACAGAAACGCATGGACGTTCAAAAACAAACGCAAGTTATAGCTGGAAGATTCCAATATACCAGAATCGCCCTCTTCATTTTTCAAACGCACAATTGACAACAATATATCAAATCCGGAACGAAACGATGAAACTAAATCTAAGCACAGTAATTGGAACTTATCCATATCGATGCCATCGCGCCATGCTACGTTCACCATAAATCACACTAATTCACCGATCGGAGACTCCTTCGACATCCATGTTGGCTCACAAAGACCTTTTCCATTCCCATCGAGATCAAGAGATCTGCGTATCACTACCCCCTGCGTATAATCTCGCATCTCCTACCATCACTTCTACATAACATTTGCAGCCGATATGTGCGTGGATATCTCTTTAATTTACAAATATCATGCACTCTGTTTGACAGCTAAATGATCTTACAATTCAAATACTTTGCTCAGCCCCTTGACCTGTAACATGCGTCTGCAAAGTGTTATCAGAAATCATCTTAATCCGCACTTGGCCTACTGCACTACCCTCCATCTGGACGATTTCTTCAATTCTCTCATTCGCTGTGCCTCACATTATACCATTGATGAGCCAAACAGTCATTGTGGTCATATATATCACATGTCCTATTTCATCTTCTACCTCAATGGGACCATATCTCGAATAACCTACCTACTCAATTGGGATTGCGACAATATCACACACTGAATCAAACTTTTGATAAGAACAACCGAGACAACACGAATTCAGACATTGAAATCATATGCCGTGGACTGAATGCCATCCTACCCATCCGTCAACAAATGACTAATTGAGCATACCTGAAACATACGTTAGCTTCAACTAGACATCCTACATCGACTTTTCCCTAACTCTGCAAAATAACGCTAATCAGTTTTTCCCCACACCATTCACACATCACATAATCACATACCATACCATCACTCAATAGAATAATGCCAAAACAATATATCAATCATTACTACGTCATATCACATGAGTACACTTTTCGTGGCTTTGAATTCTTGCGCGTCGACATATCCTAGAAGCTTTAGGCTAATACTACGATAATAGCTGTTACTCGTTATAGACAATTTTGTACTTCACTATTTCTATTTCCTACATCATTCATACAACACATGGCCTACATAGTATTCACTACACGAACTGATCACCACTTAAATAACTACAATACTTAAAGACAACCAACAACCCATCATCTACCTCATCCATGTCAACTAAGACTTTTAACCACTCACTGTAAGTATCCAAAAAACTCACTTTATCACCTACTGTACTTAACAATATTCCCTCAGACCTTTGGAAACATCAGAGGCTATAATGGACCGCCTACCTGTGTCAGATCTTCTCACACTCAGTAGATCATGTAAACAAACACGAATTGACGTCACAAACTACAAGGAACGAGTTTTTAGTATCCAACATGCCTATCGGAACTTTTTCAACACTGAAGAAATTGCACAATTTCAAAAACTGCAGGTATAAGTATAAAATACATCAAATTCATGACGGATACTAAATTTCTTCTCAGAATGCGACCGGGTTATTAGTCTCTGGCTCAATTGTTCTCCAATTTTTCAATCGAGAAACTTACAATGGAGACCTCGATGCATTCTGTAACATTCGTTACTGTGCAATTGCTGGAGAATGGCTAATTTCTCACGGCTACTCATTCCAATCCAAAGAAGGTCAACCTCTTGATTTCAATGACTCCTTCTCTCAAATATCCAACAACAATCAAACACGTCTAACCACGACCGACAAAGATTCAGAAGATTACAACTTTAACACAGTTGCTGGAGTTTGGAATTTCATGCGAAACACGTCCAAAATCCAACTTATTGCTACATGTGGTGCACCTTTAGAATGTATCTTCACCTTCCACTCAAGTTTGTCAACTAAATTATTCATCACTGACCTACACACTTACTCACAAATTCTTAGCCTGCGTAATGAATGTGTTCACACATCGGGCAGCATATTGCTTGTTTTCCAAGCTTACTCTAGAAGACAAAGTGACAATGCTGATCGACCTACAAGCCCCATTAACGGAACGACAGATGTATCCGATACGGAAATACGAAGATCGTGGATTTAGCATCATGCATAGGCCTACATTTAGGCTAATTTGCGATCCATCTTCCTCATTGTCTGTTCTAACTTCAAGATACATAGGCGACAAACATTGCTGTCGTGTACCATTTCATCAATACGACATCGATATACCTGATATAGATTTTTTGGAATTCAATAGTTGGGCCATGGCTTACACACCCAATTTCAACACAATCAACATCACTGTGCTTGATATACCAGGAGCAGTCGTTGATTGTGTATTTGGTCCCAAAAATTTTGCTCAAGTCAGAACACAACTTACTGCCATTGAAAGCCTTATCAAGACAGGTGCACTTCGGTATGTATAAATTTCCACAATGAAAAAGAGCACAGTTTGAGTTCATGATTAGAACTGATGTGGCCGTAATGGCAATTCAGACAATCCTTCGAGATTCAAATCAACGACCAATCCATGAAAGCTCATTTTGGACTGAATTTCAAAAAGTATTCAACTACATAAACAACTCTGAGCTGGTGGTATGCCCTGCTACTGCTCAACAATTGATAGAGTTGTTTACGGTTGTCCGACGCAACTTTGCGGCAGTAACTATGGTTGGTATCCGTTACAAATATTTGCATTTTATCTTGACAAAATCAACACCTATTAGGATGATCCCTTCATCAGCCATGATGAAGATAATGTTACAAGGTTAACATTGATAATGAATATTGGACCTGCAAAAACCAGTATCAATCGGGCAACGTTGAGTTCATGGGCACGTTCTTTCGCAACTCATAATATAACCATTGTACTGCATCAAAAAATGTAAAATACAATCACAATGAAACGCTCCTATGCTACAACCCAAAATAAAGCCTCTCCACATTGCCATAGTCACATAAAAAAATTAAAACATTCACAACCACCATTCCCCACAGAAACTATTCCACATGAAAAGTCGACATTCATGAAGAGACAAAAATATTGAAGGCATACGATATCACTTTAACGTTTGACCTCCCAGTAGATGAATACTGGCAAAAGAAAAATCTCATCCTCTGCCAATGCTGCTCTGATTAGCAATAAGAATGGTGAATCGGCTTTTGTAAACAAGTGCGGTCGATATGGAACAACAAAGCGACCCACGATCTTTGATGTACCGTCACTTTTCAGTGCTGCAGCCTACATAGTTACTATTAATCCATTCAAGATGTTGATCATCGAGAAACTTACCGCCCACTCATCATTCATGTAATTGATCTCATACTCTCTTCTCTCCGCCAACCACCTCCAGTACCTTGCTCTACGGAACACCCACATATCACCTTCGGATCTCAAATGGCCATCCCAGTTTCTGTTCAACAACTTACTTGTTCAGAACTGCATTAGTAAAGTCGCGAACCAACGAAAACGCTGAGTCGTTTTATCAAAGTAAAGTACTCGATGAAACAGAATTGGACGTGACAGAACCACATCCGACAGTAGGGGTAACATTGTGAACATATATGAGACCTGCTGCAAGGCTATTGACACATGAACCGAATAACAATTCGGAGGTTAACCGAGTGTGAATCGACCAATCAAGTCCTGATTCAACTTCATTCAAGCATCATAAAGAAATCTACACAACAACATGACAAACATACTTGAAAATCAACCGCATACTCTGCACAAAACTGTGCTTCCATGAGTGACACAGCAGAATCAGAATGCCAATCAAACATGTCAAAGTGGATAATTTGTCACAATTGAAGATCATTCCACTGCATAGGCTCCCACCCCGACGGGCTGTTCGATGTTGTATGATCCATCTAGGCGGGGAACGAGAAAGCGAGGACAACGTGGCCTTTGCGAACGATGTACGATCCGTTTCCCAATTTCGAAAACGGCGCTGCAAGAATTGATGCGACAGGGACGTCGTCTCACACTGCACGCATTATACTGTACATAAGAGGATAGACAGAGAGTTTCGCGGATCACAGAATGAAATATCAATAGGTCCCGAAGGTCTTCGTAAGTCGGTGGACGAAAATTGCCCGACTGACCAGGAAAATTTAGCCACATTGTTGAAAGATGTATATTGTTGCTTACCTGACCCCGAAAGGTGCATACGTGCTATCCGCTCCCTTACTAACCGCACGTAACCCGACAGCAACATACTCTCCATTCTCATCGGTGTATTCCTTCAACACACTCATCACCACACCTTCCGGATCATTCCACCGTCTAAGCTCCCGCCCGGACGCGTTTTTCCCGTGCTCTGGTATCCATCTGGACGAAAAGCGAAGAAACGAGCACAAAGTAGCCTTTGCAAACAATATACGTTCCGTCACCTGATTTCGAGAACGCAGCTGCGAGGGTTGATGGGGTAAGGACATCATATCCAACTGCACATATTATACTGTCCATAGACACGTGGACACAAACAGTTCCACGGTTCACAAAATCGAGCATGGCCGGTTTCGGAAGATCTTCATATGTCAGTGGATTAAACCTGCCCGGCTGACCATTGATGCCAAAACATTTGACTTGCTCTTGATCTGATGCTTCACTGTAAACAAGGAAAAAACAGAAATCAGATTAGAAAAATGCCAAAATGAAAACAAAGCTCACGCGACGTCCTATCTGTCAGCCAATTACAGTAAAGCCCAGGAAACGCTAGAGGAAGAAGTATCATGACCGACCATAAGAACGGCTATCATGATCTGTGCGATTTCATGGTCGGCAAAACTTTCACCACACCAATATTTCTCGTTCATAAGTGCGACAATCATGTCATCCTGTGTAACATTGTATCAACGAATGAAGAAAATTCAAATGAAATGACATCCTAACCGGTGGCATTTCCTAATCTTTTTCCTTTACTGAACATTGATTATCCCTCTCTTCCTCCAATAACACCCCAACTACCACACCTCCCTCATACCCACCCTGTCACTCTTACCCCACTAATCCTCTACCTCATGATAATTGACAATATACAAATATAATCAAAAGCAACAGTTGCTAAAACTCACTACCAGACAAAAAATAGCAAAATCCTTTGATTGACAGCTTGCCTTAATTAATGAAACCCAACACCAACAATGACTACAACATCCTAACTTCATGAACCTGCAAGGAAAATGCATCTCAAGCTCAGCCAACCTACACATATCACAACCTACAAACAAATTCTACCAACAACACACACAATGCACTATTCTCACTCATTCAAGATATATAAATACATATGTGCCTTTCGTCCATTCAATTCCATCATATCTACAGCAACTTCTCTATTGAATAATATATCATGCTCAAATACTCCTTCATTGACTTGACCATCATATGACCACATACCAGATCCATTAATTACTCTTGCAGTAAAATGATTTCCACCACAGTATATTATTGAATTCAAGGAATATCTCAAACATATATCTGTATTATACAGTGGTATATTCAGCTCATATGATGGAATGATATCATTCACTCCATTCAACTCAAACACAATGACTTGTCTTGAATCTCCACTTAACAGTAATGTTGAATCACAATCTGAATTACAAGTTATGTTATTACTTATATCAACATGATTGACTGTATACAAGACATCAATATAATCCTGTACAGAACTGATTTCATGTTTGTATGAAAATAATGGTTCCAACTGCTCAGCAAGCAGATTATAACACTTTGCACTTCCTATGTATCTATGTGTAATGTTATGCAAATTACATACACCTGTCAATTCCAAGTATACATTACTCCATTCACACACATGAGATTCTACAAGTGTTGATACAGGTAAAAGGACATGACCATGTTCCATGTAACCACTGCCAAAAACATCAAATACCTCATTGCGCCATATATCACGCATCATATTCCACATTGATGTATACATTTGCTTCTCATGACTGTTACAAAGTTCTTGCAAATGATTGAACACCTGTTTCGAACGAGACTGATTATACCACAAATTACGACCAACAACAGACATACACTCATAGCAATTATATAACACAACAAATGCAGTATCAAAACAACAACTCCAATTATTGCTATCCCATGAAGGCCCCCTTGATGCAATGCTCACACTGCTAATCAATGAATATTCATCATGACTAACTTTCAATAATTTATGTACCTTTTCATTATTCTCAACATTTTCATGCTTCCGTTTAGTACCATTATATCCAATAAATTCATAATGCACCTGGGAAAACTTGAACCTTTGTTCACCCTCTGCATCTGGAACATCCTTTAAATCACCCTCTTCAAATCCCCAAATAACCTTTGTATTATGTGCCATAACTTCAAAACGCCTTGCTTCAAACCAAAGATCATAAGGAATAACAGGCAAATTCAAATTATCTATTGTAACTTTTTTGGTTATGAATAAACCTTCCCGGCTACGAGGCCTTGACACAGAAACATATGCACCATATCCACCCAAATGTAACATACATAAAATTGCTATCAAAGTATGACCTTGAGCTCCTTGACCAGTAAGAGCAAATAATGGCTCGAAAGGTAGTTGCATTCTGACAACAGACACTAAAACTTTTTTACGTTCTTCATTGACTATATATGTACTATACCTCCATGACCTTGCTTTGATAGGAAAATAACCCTTTGGTAATCCTGAAAGTTGCACTTTGCTGTCTGGAAATTCAACCAATGCATATCTACAACATGTAAGACCATTACTATCAGTTGATAATTCCAACTTTCTCAAATAGCCCCTTGCTCCATTTGTAATACCCAACTCAGTATTTAGATTTTCATGCTTTAATATCACTGGCATTCCAATATATAGATTCATTATACCTGGTAGACCTGCTCTTAGCTTGCCAGATGAAGTATCCATTCCTAACAACTGGGCTTGCTCAAAAGATGATGGAACCAACTTTTTACTACTGGAATTTGATCTGCCACCATCTTTATACTGAATCTGGTCATATGCAACTACTGTAACCAAACTGGGTGAGTGTATACCTCTACATATAGCTGCAGCTTTATATCCATTCAAAGCTCTACGCTGAGAATTTTTTGATACAATTATTGAAGCAAGGTACTGTGATTCATTATCAAAAACCACCCCATTTGGATTACTTGAAGTCTTGATTGCCCGACTATTAAAAAGATCCACATCTGCACTGTTACATTGACGCAACCTCAAACGCCCTACAGCTGCTGCATATTCAACATCACCCTCCATACGTTTTTGTTTGTGCAATTCAACAACAGTATTTATTGACTTCCATGCCATACGACCTAACCTACGCATTAGTTCTTCATCTGTCTGTTTACCAGAACTACGTATCGGAACATAAAGAGGTGTTCCAACAGGTGGATATTGAAAAGGATCTCCACAAAATATAACATTAACTCCACCAAAAAAATCATCAGGTTTTTCTTTTGCATAACGCAATGATCCATCAATGTCAGCCAACAAAATTGAATCCACCATTGAAATTTCATCAATTAACAGCAAACAAACATCCTTCCATTCTCTACGCAATGAATTGTTTTTCTTAACAGTAGCAAATATAGCAACATTTTCATTCAACTCCCCTAAAGGTCGCTTGGATCTCCCATTCTTAAATTCTCTAACAGAAATATTCAAGCCACTATGTATGGTTTTACCATTAACTAAAGATGCTGCATTACCTGTAGGTGCAAGTGCTCTATAAGTATGCTCCATGCTATAATACTCCATTACCTTCTGAACTGCACGAATAATATGAGTCTTCCCTGTTCCGCCAGGACCTGTCAAATTCATCACTAATGCTCCCTTTGCAGTCCACTCGGGTATCTTCAATATTTCTCGAAATATAACCACAGATGATATAATCTCAAATGCAACTAGTTGCTCATCATTTAAATCAAATTCCTGTGCTATTCTATCTTTTAACTGCAATGGTGTATACTGTTCAGAATTCACATCAGACACTTCACCACAAACAATACTATTATAATATGTATCAGTTCCATCTGAAACATAACTTTCTTGACTACTAGAATCTTGAACTGCTACATTGCTTTTACTATAACGAGCACTTGCAACTTTATCTGCAATTGACTTTCCTTCATTGATCCATTTTTGCACATTAATCTCATTCAATGTAAGATTCAAACTATGTTTTGAACTGATCCAAATAGATTCTTTCAATTTAGCAGATGGTTCCTTCAACCATGCTGCACATGTCAAATCTGTTCTCAACAACTCCAATTCCTGAACATCCAATGCGGACCTTGTACTTTTATTTTGTAGACTGCTAGGTACAACAAAAGCACTCAGTTCATCATCATTATCCAAAGCAGAGTAAACATCAGCAGGTAATTGTACTGACTTAGCTAAAAAATCTGATCTTTTCCTCAACCTCTCAGCATCTCTCTGATCAGCACATTCATGTATTTCTTCCCAATTACACAAAATCCTTTTATGTTCTTCACACAATATTAAACTTTCCAATTCCACTTCAGCAACATCTTCAATCAATTTATTTGAAGTCGAAAATGGCTTGAAATGAGCAAGAACAAATAAAGCATAATCTTTCTGATGTTTGCGAGGAGGCACTACTCCAATCATTACAGGCACAAGCTCTTTCCCAACATCACCTTGCCTGTAATTAGTATGTCGAATGAGTTCATGTGTCTCATATAATGGATGACCAGCCATAAGTCTATACCTCCTTAAAACACCTAAACGTGTATCAGAAGTATTTGCAGTTTTGCTTTTGCTCTGCACTTGCAATGAAACATACCTGATAAAATCATAAAAACACATATCAAACAGCATTGCATCACGATACCAATAATCAACAACCTGACTATAACTAAACATCTTTCCATCTTTAAATCCAAGTGAAAGCTGAATATCTACTTCACTTCCTTCATTGTCACAACCATCACTCCCAATAGCAAGCTTATACACTTGTTTCACAAACAACATTAAATTACCAGAAGGCAATATAGCACTTTGATGAGAAAACATATTATCTCCAAGTCTTCTCAAATACCTTGCACATTGCTGTGCATGAATTTGTTGCTTACGACTGAAATGGGTCAAACACCTGTGTAACAGTTTTTTTGAATCAATAACTGGATCATTGTCCAATTCCTCTGTTGCTAACGAAGAAACAGCCTTAGACAATGTTGATAAAAGAATATCTGTGCTTAATGGCATTTTTGTAATATAGTCAGATATATAAAACATTGCAGCCTTGGCAGCCTTTCCTGACAATATACACTTAAGATCATGATTATGCCTAGTATATACTAACAAATCAGGATTGTGACCATTCACATCACTTTCTTTACGGGAAAATATTATTGAATTTTCCTCAATGTCAAAACTAGAGCATTCAATGATTTTCTGAGGATAGCCAAACCTGCAGCTGCTACTGCTACTTCGACCTTTATAACAAACAGGTCGACATTTATGCCTCTGGAAGCGCTCCCCTATCTTTTTATGCTCATCTTCAAATAGCCTTTGCCAATCTGAAAGCATTGCACTATCATTGCCATTGTTGTCAAATAAATGTGGCGGCATTTCAATCCGAGGTTCATAACCTTCAGCCAATGAATAATCAACTTTAGGAAGATGATGATGTATGATGTCATCAAAAAATGTCAAAAATTGTGAAGAGTACCCTTCAACTTCACGCATTTTCTGATGAACCTCAGATGGATTTAAACCTCCACGAAGAAATAACAAATAATGACCATGAAAACAGCCTCTCTCTGTGAGCTCTGCGCAGCCAAAAAATGCTCGAAGATGACCAAAAATCCCTCCATCAACAGTACTTTTACCAGCTTTAAAATCCCATCCAAACAAATGCTCAAAAACAGTATGATACATAAAATCAAAAAAATCAGCAGCAGCAACAGGATCCTTAGCAACACGACAAGCACGTTCACCACGTGGATGAACTACATATGGAAAGCGTTCTGCCAAATCAACCTTATCCTCCCCATATATCACCTGAAACACAGGACTGTGAACTGCAGATGGATTAAGTGTTAAAAACAAATGCGGCAAACCAAAATAAGCATAGTAACTGCGTATCTGACTCCTTGTGGCAGTTTTAGATGCCTGTGAACCAGGAATTTTAGCAGCAATTATATTCACCTGCTTCAACAACTGAAAAGCATCCAATTCTTCATCTGAAAACTCTATTTCATCTTTTTCATTCTTTAATTTTTCTGCTAAATCAGACAACACTGATGAAGATATACTTAACAGCATCGGAACAAGTGCAGAAAATTTGTTTGATGATATCCATAATGTTGTATGAAGGTGAGCCTTTCTTCGCTGAATGACATTCAAAGCAACAAACAAAAAGAAATGGTGATAACGAAATTCACGAGTACTCTGGTCAAGAAGATGCTCAACATGTGCTTCCAAAGAAACAGCAGGCCTGCGGCGACGATCTTCAAAACCCCCAATGCCCAATGGAAATAATGTTGGAAACATGCCAGGAAATAGATCAGGATTATTGTATTCATTAATTGGATCTTTCTCATATTTCAGCATCACATCTCCATTATTTACTGGTAATGTTTGAGCAATATTATGAATTGATGATGCAGTCATAAACCGTGCAGGAACATCTTGTGACTCTGCATCATATATACCTGAACGTTCCAACAATACACTATCTTGTTCTGAATCAACCAATAACTCTGCAGGATGACTATCAAATCCAACTGACTCAACACCAAAAAGCTCATCAACAGAACTGTCATGATCATAAACAATCCGTTCCTGCAACCCCGGAAGCAAATCATTGTCAGGATATAATTCCAACATACTATTATCCAATGTATACAAGCCTGCATACAAACGATTGCGATGACACAAATCATATAACAACATCCGAATAACACTTCTACGAACAAAGTATGGTTTTAACTTCCTTATGTCATCATATTTCAGCTTTGCTTTACTCACAAACACTATAGTAATCAAATCATTCAAATCTGCAGGGCTCCATGGCAATTTCTTTGCAACAGAACAAATATCAAGTGGATGAGCACACACATTTCCATGCAACTGTAAGGAATCACCAGCATTTGATGATCCATATATACGGGCAACATGGGCTGATGTATGATATATAGCACATGCCATTTCCTCCACCCAAGTAATATCTTCAATACCTTCTATCAACTCTCCCCTATACATATGGTTATTCAAAGCTAATCGAGGCATAGAAACACGACGCAAAGAATTATAACACTCTCGACAAAAATATATCTCAAATGCAGAACAATCTATATCAATAGAACGTATACCTCGCTTGTCCAACAGCAAACCATCCAGGGCTCTGCAGATGTATGTAAATCGAGATTGAGCTGTTTGCGCCAAAATCAAAGGATCTGTAACTTTTAAAACAGACAAGCTAGGCCACTCTGACTGCACCCTGTAACAACCAGTATACAACTGATCAGCAGAACCACAACATGCACATATTTCTGGAACAACATATTGCACTGCCTGCCGATAATTGTATAAACACTTCATTCGAACATTAACAGGAACAATCTGCGGCCAAACATTAGATGATTTGTGCAACAAATTATATTCATCATTTGCATGCTGTATCCTGCTATCCCTCCTTTTATCCTTTTTATCCACATTTTCTTTCGATTGCAACACATAATCTTCAGGAATAGCATGAACTATATCATGTAACAATGTCTCTGTGTACCCTATCACAACCAACAATTTCAATATAACACCTCGCAATTCCATGCCAACAAATACTGAACCATAACAATACAAGTATCTGTCTGAAAGTGTAACATCATCCATACTGAAAAAATGTCTATAATCCCTCTGAAAACATTTAGCTAACAACTTGAACAAATTATTTGATCTCATTTCAGAGAACCCATATGGAGATGAACAACAAAAAATAGGTGATGAAGTTGATCCTCTTTCACATATTTTCAGAGCACGTTTCACTTTCACCAACTCATCTTCAGACAACTCTTCAAACACAGACATTATCACAGGTAACAGTTTATTATCTATCAAAAGCTCAACGCACCGACCAACTTCAAGATGCACTTTAACATGACAGTGTAACGTATCAACTACAGCTGAACCGAATTCTACGACACACTGTTGATGTACATATGAGTACAAACAAATATTTTCTGGTCCAACCACAAAACTCCTACCTGAGAAACTCAATAATGCTTGGATAACATTATCCAATGCAACATCATGTTTAACCCGATTTGTAGAAATAATCAATTTCTGTGTCGACAACTTGCTTAGATGAACCCGACAATTATTAATATGTTCTGGTAACAACCAGAGAGGAACATTGCCACTTAATGTAACAGCAGTAAGCAGCAAGGAATCCATAGTCAAATGCAACTACATCAAAATATACAAGACCTGTTATATAGGATATCATCACCATATCTAACATGCTCTATCTCAATTGAGTTGCCATGACCAACAGAAAATGCATAGTCACATATATCCTCGGACGCAACCCAAAATCTATAGACATTCCAAGATCCAATCTTTGCCTAAACATCACATCACCAAAATGAGTATACATCTCATTCTACTTGCTCCAACTCGGGCAACATTCAGCAAGTACACAATGAGCTTGACTAGAAGGAGATAAAAAAAGGATATCACCAGCAAACCGACACTGATCAAATCGAAACCACCGACTCGTACGTACATATGTAGACAATTAATCAAAGAACTTCCAAAACAACACCCAGACTGCGTCAGATACGCAACCAGTAAATCCACATCCCTTTCCGTTGAATTCTTCTCGTAAGGATAAAGTCCATTAACAGCCGACAACAAATTGCTTTTCTTAGACAAAAACATAACAAGCACTTGACTGCAAAAGTTCAATGGATGCAACTATCCCTTTACCCTTTATATCATATAAACTACACGAAATAAATTGACATCACAAGACAGAATCACGGATTAACTTCGCATCATTGCAATCTGATCTCACAAAACGCCACCGTTTCATCCCTACAAGGACCTCCTCCTTCAGAGTCGGTGATATAAACTACACGAAATAAATTGACATCACAAGACAGAATCACGGATTAACTTCGCATCATTGCAATCTGATCTCACAAAACGCCACCGTTTCATCCCTACAAGGACCTCCTCCTTCAGAGTCGGTGAATTCTTATCCGGAATTCTAAGCTATCAGCATTCTGGGATAAATCTTGCTAAACCCCCACGATGTCGAGCTTTAATGAAGCGCAGAAGAAAGAGATCATCGTCCTTGGGGCGGGTATGTGAAAGTGTTCCATCCGCGAGTCTATCTTTGCTGAGATCTTATCATCCAACGTCTCTCCATACTAGGTGTAATTGGTCTGACAACCGCTATAAAGATCCTAGAAGACAAAGGCACCGAGTACAATGTAACAATTATTGCTGAGACGTTCCCTACGGATCCACGGACTATCAAGTATACCAGCTTTTGGGCTGTTAGTTTCAAATCATAAATGGATCCGGGTCTGTGAGATCTAACACGATCCATTACAGGGAGCACAATATGTCGCTACTCGTACTGAAGATCTTAATCTACGACGAATGGAGCGGGAAAGCTTTGATGTGGTTTGGGCAATGTCAGAGCCAGGTTCCGGTGTCGCCGAAGGATGCTTATTGAGATGTACGGATTATGCGCATCTTCCAGAGGAGGAGCGACATCCAGATGGCGAAGATCATCCATGTGCGTTCATGCCTGATGCGAGTACAAGTTCGAGTTCTCAGGCCACGAGTTGTATATTCACCATTTGGTTTTGCCTACACAGTTCCGCCAACTTCGGCCAGACGAACTCGCTTCTGGCGCCGTTCAAGGCTTTGCGTGCACTGCAGTGACCTTTGACATACCTCGCTACCTCCCATACCTCCTCGCGCGGTTTACTTCTGGTGGAGGTTCGATTATCCGTGGCAGTGTCGCACACATACAACAAGTCCTCGAGGGTGGGACTAAGCTATTCGCCAGTGGTAGGTCGATATCCTCTTCTGCATATATATCCACGTCTCATCTCTCTTGAATATAGAAAATTCATTGAGAAAGCCTTCGCCACCCGATGCAGTCATTCTTTGTGTTGGTCTTGGCGCAAGATTCCTAGGTGGAGTTGAGGATAAGGATGTCATTCCGGTCAGGGGACAAACAGTGCTTTTGCGAGCGCCATGGGTACGAACTATGCCTGTTTTGAGAGACTTGAAGGACGGAGCGATGCCGCCATATGTTATTCCCAGGAAGGGAGGCGATGTGAGCGTGTTCAAAAGCCAAGCACCAGAAATCTCGTTTCTGATTTACTATAGGTCATCGTCGGAGGAACCTATCACCCTAACGACTGGTTCGTCTAACCTTCACTGACATCTGTGTGAGAATCACCAATCCTTCACAACGCAGGTATCCTCATCCTCGACCAGAAATCACAGAACGTATCCTTGCAAGAGGACTGAAACTCTGTCCTGATCTCGCACCCCCAGAGATCCGCGCTGAACGCGAACCAACTGTGGACGATTTGCGTCCGCTAATATTGGATGTCGGTGTGGGCTTTAGACCTTATCGAAATGGAGGAGTGAGAGTCGGTGTAGAGTGGATGGACTCCGAGTCATCGCCATTGAAGGATAAGGGGAAGAAAGTTCCTGTGGTGTTCAATTATGGGTCAGGATCAAATATTCGATTCGCGAAGTTGGCTGACGTTTGCATTTTATGTATCTCTGTATGCAGGCATGGTGGAAATGGATATCAAGCCGCATGGGGCTCTGCTATAATGGCATTGGAGTACCTGGAAGGTGCGTTGAAGAATCAGGAATAAACACAGAAGAGTTGTAGCATTCTGATTAGTTGTGGCCACTGAGTAATTTGTGTGTATATTATATAGGCAAGCTGGAAGCACATATGTCCATTCGTTAGCTCTGGTTAAATGAATACAGGATATGCTGATAGTGAACGCGGAAAATGAGCGGCAATATCAATTGATGTGGTTTTTTTTACTCCACAAGCGCCGGCACTCTGCGCCACTTTCCACAACCACCATGACAGCCGCAGGAGCTTCACTCATCGCATACATACTAACCTCCTTAATTATTCTGTCAACCTACTTCTTCTTTCCACATTCACTATCAAAATACCAGTACACAACAACGCCGACGTATCTTCGTCCAATATCAACCCTTCTGGTCCTTTGTCATACACTGTTTATCCTGTATGAGCTCCTCCTGGACCCTCCAACAAATCTTTTCACCGGGTTAGATGTGCCTTTATCATATCCTGCGGATTCGATACGCAGTTTATTATTGATGTTCTCAGATGATCCTGCTGGTGGTCTTCCCAGTAAAATCGAGAGAGTTCTAACGAGATTAGAGTCTGCAGCGATGAGGTTACTATATGTCAGGTGCGCTCTGCGCTCTCTTCATCAGTTCTATATGCAAACATCCTTGAAATGGTGATAGATTCGGACACGATGCGATTGCTACATGTGAATTCTGTATTTCCTGGGACGATTTTTCGCTCTATGTTCTTCCTAGTGCACTTTGGGACTACCTACGCGAAGTCTTCATAGTGGGCGCTTTGACGCTAAGAGGGACACGTCATGCTCAGCATCGTTCCTTTAGCGTAGGTGTGCTTGTGGCTGCGGCAATGTTTGAGGCGTATTTCACGTTGACAGCTAAAGTGAGCATCCCAAAGGACTTCGAAGACCCAAATAGCGCCTGGCGGAATATAAAAAGGCTATATGGTGGTTACGGTGTGGTCATGGTAAACAAGTTTCTTTGTTGTGGGGGAAAGTAAATTGACCTTTCAAACAGTGGCACGACGTTTTGCTGCTGGCCCGTAGAATTGTCTTCCTTGTTCTTCCGATCGCAGTACACTTTGTACTCAAACCGTCTCCTCTTCCTCTGTCGTCAACTGTGCTATCAAACACCGTACCACAAGGCGGTACTGCCCCAGTGCCTCCCGAAGCACTGGCCTTTCACACGCTTCAGTCCTTGACAACAAAACTGCAGCTTCTACGGCTAACGCGAGGTGCTATACCACGCAATCCAACTTTACGTGCCGCCGCAGAAAGCTACTGGGCAGCAGAACGACAGGAGGGCGAGTGCATACGCGCTGATGAGGATGTGCAGGATATGGCGCGCCGTTTGGGGCTTGGGTTTGACGAGTCATCCAAGAGCGGTACAGGGGATGTAACATCTGAGGGACCGCTACTTAAGCAGGTCAAAGCCGCAGTACAGAAGCTGATCAATCAAGGTTATGTTCCCAGTCCGTTTTGGAAGCCATCTCCGCCTCAATCACCAGGGGGTTCTTAGATTTCTCTTGTTTTGAAAAGATCGGGAAATATGTTGATGAGTAGGTTAAGATCTCTGTTGTATTTCGTTCTAATCAATATCGTACATTGTGCAAAGGAGTCGGATGTTCTCCGTACACTTTCCTGCTCTATTTGAATTCATTTGGATAAAATCATCAATCATCAATTTATTTACTTGGTACAGACTACTGGTCGTGCATCCGCCGATGCAAGGAGATGGAAATGTGGACGACCTTCTGGGAAATCGACGGAATCTTGTAGGATTTATACAAGGAAAGCGATGGAAAATACATGTTGTCAAGAGTGGACCTATCGCTTCCCCCCAGCGATTGACTAGCACATACAGTATATCATAGAATACATAGTTTATCGAGGTCACCACATTTTATAACTCTCGGGTTCAGTGCTACGAAACCCTAGTAGTGCAGTATCTCACGACTAAAAGCGACGGTCATGTCGATCCCATCGATGCCTGAGAGTATACCCGGTCTGGAGAAGGACTTCAATCTCTTGCGTGAAACTGTATCTGGAGGAACATCCACTAGATGGATGGACCACAAAAAGGTCAAGTTTTACACCAATGCCTTTATTTTTCATGGAAATAAGGCAAGTTTTGAACGGCTTAACTATTCAATGGAACTCCCAATTATTAGTAGGTCTTACTGGGCTATAAGAAGCGTGGATTTGGTCTACATAAGTTGGTCGAGAATTACTTTACTCGTCTTATAACTCAGCCAGATGTTTACGATTCGGATTATGGGACAGATATAACGGATTCGGTAAGTGGACGCCAATTTTTCGCGCACCGGAATAACGTACTACGATTTTCTGTCGTACAGGAGGAAAAGTAGAGCTAGGGGAAACATCTCTCGAAGCTGCTGCTCGTGAACTAGAGGTAAGAGACCCTAAGGCTAACATTCTAAATACTGTAATTGACAATTGACGTCGATCTCCTCAGGAAGAAGCAGGGATCAAGTCTGCCCTCAAACATATTGGTATCCTGTTTTTCCTCAGCGACGGGGAGGACTGCGCCTTTCATATAGATATATACCGAGGCGATGGATTCGCAGGCGTCATAACCGAGTGAGCATGTAGGTCTTCCGAGATTTGAAGGTTGATCGCTGATTCTGTTCATTCACCATTGACAGGTCAGAGGAAATGCGACCAGAATGGTTCTCCACCAGTGCCGACAATTCTCCGGATACAGGGGAAGCTCCATCTATACCTTATGAACAGCTCTGGGAAACAGATCCCTACTGGTTCCCTTATCTTCTTTCGAATACCCCGTTCCGAGGCAGGGCAGATTTTCGGATGGATTCGGATGAGGGCAAACTTTTGCCGTGCAAGTGGTGGTTCGGTGTACTGGGAGGATCTGCTGAAGTGGCAGATTAAGCACCTTTATCTTGATGTCACTAGAATAGAATAAGGTCTTCTTGCTACATGATTTCAGATTAGCATATTTTTAAAGCCTCAACACCTAATCTAGGGTTTCATTACTGCTTATTCCATTCCATCGCTACCTCTCTTGTCAGTCGTTCTATATGTATCTTCACAAGAACATACCATTCACCGATTAGCAGATAAATGGAATCTCTTGGACCTGCCCGCTGGTCGTCAATTCGACCTTGGATTCCTCCATTGTCACTTTCCGTGCGCGAAATAACCTCTGTTTCGGTCACCTTCGTTCTGTCTGCAGCCACCTCGGATCAGAACTCAGAGACTGAATTGTCTCTTGCTGATCTTGGGCTCTCTGCGGAGGATATGCATGAAGACGAGGATGTAGCTGATGATGAGGATACGAGCACCTCGGAGTTGGATGCAAAGAAACCATTATCTATGGTTTCCAGCGCCCTGAATGGAGGTTTATCTGTGGAAGTGGACAGAAGCTCATGGAGAAGGGTTTTTATCCGAATAGACGACAAGGCAGACGAAGCTGTGATCATAGTATATGGGCTTCTACCTGGTCGCCAGTATGAAATCGTCCTTGAGCTTGTGCAAGGTGGACATACGAATAGCATCAGACAACAGGTCACTACTGAAGGTGTGTATTTCTATGCAGCTATACGTTCGACGGTTCTCCAACTGCCGTTTCCAGAGAACGAAACCAAAGACGCGTCTCATGCCTCGGATAGCGACTCTACTTCGAAATCCACAGCAGCCTCTTCGTCTAGTGACATCAATGTTCTCAACACCTCCGCTCAACCTAGCCCTCCATCGGATAGTAACGGAAGTTCTCCTCAGCCGAGTTCATCACCCGGATATGGTTTTGCGCCCCTCACTCTGGAGGATCGTCTTAACCAACTTCAGCACACCCTTTCTGTTCTGAATTCGGAACAGGCTTCGCTTACAGCCACGATCAAGTCCTCACGGCGTGATGCTCAGAAAGCAGATGCCAATCTACGCTCTGAAATCGACGTCCTGAAGCGAGCATCGGATCGTTATCTGTCTTCGGAACAACGCTCCAAGCAGAAAGTCCTTGCTTTACAGGAAGTTGTTAAGCGAACGCAGATAATTACAAAGGAGATGGAAGCGACAATTAAAGAAGTAAATGCCGAGATCCCAGGTTTGAAGGAAGAGAAACAAAAACGGGAGGCAGAGCACAGGAAGGTGAAAGAGGCTGCGAACAAAGTCCGCAGAGAGAAGGATGCGCAGGCGGAGCAAGAGCGGAAACGAATTGAGTCGATGAAGAATGAATTGAATACCCTAACCAAACAATTAGAAAAGCTGGAAGTGAAGAAGGAGAAACTCGAGGGCGGCGTCATCAAGGAGTTGGAGGAGCAGTTGGAAAATGTCGAGCAGGAGATGGAGATGTTGGAAAGAGAAGAAGAAGAACTTTCTAACGGGTCGTTTTCTCAGCCGATGACATCCCAATCTATCGGGCCTACTTGGACACCTGGTCTTTCAGGTCGTCACCCCGAAGATGAGGTTCCGAAAACTCCTGACCCAGGAACAATCGGTCGACCATCGCCAAACTCACTATCCAAGCCGTCATTGATACAACGACCTCAAGGGCTTGTGCATCTTCCTAACCCGCTTTCGATTTCGAACGCCCATTGGACACCTATATCATCCCCTCGACATAGTCAGCCGCATAGTCCTAACCATATCAATCAACGAACCTCCTCACTCCCACAACCTAATCCACAAGGAAATCCTCATCATCTTCACCACGTTCATCACCACTCGCAGCAACACCAACACCATCATTCACACGCGAATTCACATTTCCCCGCTGCTCGACCGCCCCAACCGAGCCCTACGATCATTTTGATGAACCCGAATCGACAGAGTCTAAAAAACACTCCCGGAGGTTCTATCGGTACACCTGCTTCTTCTGCCGTTCATGCAGTCGATCCCTCTGAAGCAATCTCGAATAGTTTGTCACCTTCTCCTGCAATGGGATTTACTGCGTCTGGGGTATCTACCCCAAGTACGACTGGATCTACGTTATCTAGTCGTGCTCCGCCTTTCGAACCCGGACGTAGTCTCATCATGCGTTCTACTTCCCAGTCAAGAACGCGTGTAGGGACGTGATCCGTTCCTGTACCTTCTCTGACTCTGGTGGATCATGTACGTTATCGTTCCTTAGGCGAACGATGCTGATTCTCGCAATATGTTAGCATATCATTTACACTTGATATATATGCGTACGATAATTCCAAATTTGAACATAGTCAAGGATGAATCGATGATGCATATGTCCGGCTGATTCTGATGCATTCGAAGGTTTTTTCTAAAAAACATATTCGCGAAAGCGCGCGCAAAAATTCGTTCAACTTGGAGCTTTTTGGGTGTTTTGGTTCACTTTGGTTGTAGCTCAAGTCCAAGTTGCTTCAGGAGATGGAGGACAAGAGTCACGAAAGTTCGTTCTGTCTGTACTCTTCTCCATGTAGTTGTTCAAGTTTGTTCAATGAGTATCATGCCGCCGATCGAGAGAGCGCTTCAGCCGTCATTGGTGATTTTTATGGAATTGCTATGGAATGTATAGTGACTGCAGTGGTCCAATCCCAGGGCAGGGTAGACAACAACGTTCAGTCTATGCATACGGTCGAATCGGAGAGTAGATGCGCAAATTAAACAGTCAACGATTGTTCATACACGTTGTTTTTTTTGTCTCGGATTATGGGCGAAAATTCGTACTTCGCAAACGGAATTGTATTTTGGTAAATCAAATAAAACATGAAAGGATATAAGAACGTAGCAGTATGTGTGAGAATAGGAACGTTGGTATCCGACTCAGTAATGTAACTTGCACTACTATCTAGAAATCCATCATAGCCCGAAGACAATAGTGTTGCTAGCGAAAGTGAAGTCGTCACAGAAATGAATCTATATTCGACGTTTTGTAGATGGGAAGACCCGTCCTAGCGCAAATAGGCTGAAATGGATGGGGGGCAAAAACGTCGTTGAGAAAAAGTTGAATGAGAAAATTTGGTTTATATAAAAACAGGAACCACGTGCGCTGATGGCCGCATGCGGCAAAAGAATATGATTTGAGCGTCCAGCATCTAAACGATTGAATCGTACAGTCAGCCTTCCATTCATCCTCACCCTCCTCCTCTGGTCCTCAGCCGTCTTGCTATGAGCTGGTCCTTCTACGCTGGCACAACGACTCTTGTTGCTGTCATCCTTTATGTTTACATCCGGTCCAATGATAAGAAATTATGGAGTACACCCGCGAGAGCGCTGGAGGTGTCACCGAGGAGGATTACAGAGGAGGATGTAGAGGAACTGAAGGAGCGGATGAATCAGATGGGTGAAAGGAGACATTCTGCCGAGGCCGAGACCTCACCAAAGACAGGGAGGAAGTATATCGTTGTTGGTGGGGTGAGCTGAGCTCTCTTTCGTTTTCGCGGTTCTCTGAGCATGCTTCTTGTAGGCGGGCTTCCTCGGAGGTTGGATCGTAATACAACTTCTTCAACGCGGCGAAGATCCCAAAAACATCCGTGTGTTGGATATCCGATTACCTGCGAGGCGTGATTTGAAGTATGGAATCGGGAAGGATGTTGAATATCTTGTGTTAGATGTGAGTGATAGGGAGGCCGTGAAAAATGCGTTTAAGAAGCCTTGGCCTGATGCAGACGCGTCTCCTTCTCCCTCCATACCAATAACAATCTTCCACACAGCAGCCAACATTCGGTTCTACGAACGTTCCGCTTCTCTTTTACACAACTCAACGAGAGTTAACGTCGACGGGACGCAGAATATCATCGATGCTGCACTCGAAATCGGCGCCTCTACGCTTATTTATACTTCTTCTGGCTCCGTAGGCGTGCGAGCGTCGAGGTTTCTACTGTGGCCTTGGGAGAAGGAGCCGAATAATTTCGTACAGAATTTGAATGATGACGATGCGCTGTTGCCGAAGAAACATACCCAGTTCTTTTCGAACTATGCTTACTCAAAGTATCTAGCGGAGAAACGCGTTAGGGAGGCGGATAAATCTACATTAAACTCACGACAACAAAGTTATCGTCTCCGCACAGGCTGCATCCGCCCAGGCAACGGTATCTTCGGTCCTGGCGGGGACATGCTCTGTGGGGCATACCTCGTGCGCCAGACAAATCCAACCTGGATATCGAATATTGTTTCCCATTTCGTGTACGTGGAAAATTGTGCAGCAGCGCATTTGTGTTATGAGCAGCGGCTTATAGAAGTAGAGCGACAACGCGGTGTTAATTTAGAAGTTGCAGATATCTCAAGTCCGAATATTCCTCCTCGTTTTCCAGACATCGGCGGTCAAGCGTTCACTATAACCGACCCAGGTCCTCCACCCACATACGGCGACGTCTACCTTACTCTTGAAACACTCACCAACGGACAAACGTTCTTTCCGGAGATATCGCCTACGCTGATGATCTTCATCGCCTACATCATCGAGTGGTACTACCTCCTGAGAGCTTTTCTACTCTCCTTTCTTCTGGAGCTTTCTTCCGTGTCTTCAGGCGTACCAAACAAACCACTTTCAAATTTCTTCTCCAAACTAATTCAACTGAACAATTTCCTCCTCCCATCCGTAAACAAGGACCTCGTTAATCTCCAACCCTCGTTGTTCAATCTAACCATGGTTCACCTGATATTCGATGATTCCCGCGCCAGGATGAAGCCGGAACAGGGCGGACTGGGATATCAGGGTAGGTGGAACACAGCAGAGGGTTTGTGGAAGACTTGGGATGCACATCGGAAAGAAGTTGAAATATATGAGAAGGAGAGAAAGGACGGCGTGATTCGGTTGGATAATCAAATAAGGAGTGATGGCGCTGGTGTGAGCTTTGGGTTTGGGATGGTTAGAGGGCAGAGAGGAGTTTCAAAAGTTGTAGAAAAGGTGCAGAGGGTGGAGGAAAAGGTACAGAGGGTGGAGACAAAATTTGAGGAAGTGACAACTTAAGATATGTATGTATTTTGGTTAAGATGTTGTACCCTGTTGTACCTAAATTATGATTACTCCAGCTCGCAGAGCGTGGTATGTAGAGGTACTGTCGAGGTACTATACACTGATCATACCTTTTGAAGACCCGTCCAGTTAACTAGTGCCAGTAGGAGAATGACTGGCATGAGTTCTCGTGCACCTCATGGCGGAAGACCCCGACTACAAAATAGCTAGAATTCAAGCGCCTGAATTAGACGCTCAGCAATTCAACGTTGCCGACATCACCCGGCTCGTTCTTCGTTCTTCTCTTCAATGAACTTTGCTAGGCAGCGGCTCGTAAGTCGCACTCTGTTCTATACTCTCGAATATAGGACAGGACTTACAGTGACAAATAGCTCAAAACCGTGAAATTTGGAGGCGTGGGCTCAGTCTCTCTAGGCGCAGCCAGCGGCGTCGTGTTGCTTTCTTCATCAGGTCCCAGTGGTCAGACAAAAGAAAAGGTTCGCGTCTTGTTAGTTGTTCAATTTATCCTTGAATTTGAATCTTGATGTTCATTTTCATTTATGAACGGCTGTTATTTAGCTTCCCATATACCCTCACCCTGATCCGGAAATTCTCCTCCAAGAAGTTCCCTCTGAACTCGAAAAACAAATCGGTGTCGCAAGGAGAGAGATAACGTCGAGGTATAGAGATGCACATAAGCAAGTACAAGGGTTAGTGGATAGGTGGATTAATATTGAGCATGCTGTTGAAAGTGCGTTTCATTCTTAACTGATCTCGTTCGTTTTTTCATTTGTTCATGTCGTTAATTTCCACAAATTTATCCTTCGAAATCCTTCAAATATTATTAATGCCGTTCACTAATAAGCGCTATCCCTCCATTCACAGACCGTGTCAAAGCAATAATTTCTCCCGACGAATCACTCACCCCATCTGTTCTTTACATCGGTGTTTCCACACTGACTGGGTCCATTTTAACCCGTTCTCGTTCTATCCCTCTTCGGTTGATCTTCCCACCACTTCTCTTCGCTCTTTCTTCAGCCCATTTCTTACCAAAAACCACCTCGAACTTCACCTCATACCTTGGTTCGCTCGAAGACACATATTTCCCCACTCTAGCTCAAAAACACGACGTGGCTAAGGCGCATAGCGCGATGACTTGGGACAGAGCAAAGGAAGCAGTGGAAGGTGCAAGGAGGAGTGTAGAGGGTGGTGTGCTTGGCGGGGTGGAGAAGATGCAGCAGGTTACAGGGTTGAAGGTTGGGGAAGTGTGGAAGTTGGGCGAGGAGAAGCAGGGAAAGGTCGTGGAGGCAGTGAAAGCGCTCGAGGAGAATGCGAAAGAGGCGGAGGTTCGTGTCCTAGAGGCTGCGAAAGTCGTAGAGAAGAAGACTGAAGAGGCTGTCTCTGATGCGGAGACGAAGAAAGAGGAGATCAAGAGACTCGTTTGATCGGATTGCGATTCTATGATTGATACTATTGGTTCTGACTAGAATGCAATCTAATGTTTTTGCTGTTTTCATGTATCTGACCGTGCAATGTTCAAACTCGAGGATTCACTGCTTCCCTAACCAACTTTTTGAACCATTTCATCAATTGATTTGAAATGGGTATCACAAGGTAGGTTTACCGACAACAAGTTTTTTTTTTAATTGCAGGAAACAAAATTTCGACATAAGACAGTCTTGACTCTCACTGTAATAGTTTAAATCCGCAACAATAAAAATCATTGTTTGTACAGAAGGCTGGCATGAATAAATTGCGGTTGTAATGCAAAGAAAACTCAAATTCGGGGTGAGCAATGAATCACAGCAAAACAATCTAATCAAGGTATGTGAGTGCCAACGGCTGATCATCGAACGGTATCAAGTACCCTCTCTATGCCAAAAATCTGGTAATATCGATCACCTCAAAGTTACTAGTGTCTAGTGCATCGGGAGAACCATGTTTAATGAGCTGAAGTTGAGCATGAAGCTCTGCAAAGAGTTGCTTTTTATCGGCCAGCTATGCACGAAACATTCATGAATGATATGGAACATGCTTGCCAGACTAGAGAAAAAGGGACTGACATTATAGCTGCAGGCATTTGCCCCAGAAGTACTCGGTAACGCAAAGAAAAGGGTCTCAGTAACAGTTCCACTCGCAACCGGCTCAATTTGAGGATATGTGAGCCTGAATGGCAACATGTATGCCCGGATATCAGCTAGGTTTTTAGAAGGCTCTGACTTTGCGTTTGAAGGTGGCGATTTTGCGTTTGAAGGTGGTGATTTTGCTTTTGATTTCTCTCGGCGTGCAGGTCGCGATTTCCATTCGATCAAGGTACTTGTCTGTGAAGACGAAGTCAACTTTCCATTCCTTGTCTTTGCCTCTCGGGGTGCTTTTGGCTTTGCCCACTGGCACTGAAGCGCTTTACAAACTGTTTCCCCGATACCAAGGCTAACAAAGCAAACGATTCGAGGTCGACATTCAACAATCTTCCGAAGGAAGCCTGGTACTGCTTGTGTCTTCTCGTATGCAGAAACCTCTTTAACCTGACAGTAAGCTAGTACTGAGTGGAGAATGAACACACCAACTGGATTGAAACTCACTGAAGCAGTCGCACGAGCAACGAGGTCAGTCTGCATGCATTGAAACAATTCATCAGCATGTAATGACTCGTAAGGATATCTACAAATTCACCAATCCGAGAGAGAATCGGCGCGGGAGGTCGGGGGCATGTTCAAATGTGGTACCAGGAGATATTAGCTCAGCATGGAGAAGACAACTATAAAATTGATTTCCTCGACCAGAAAAATGTAACTTGTTGCCTTCAGAGGTCATGCTAGGACTTATCGACGTCAAGAACCGTATTCAGTCGTAAAAGCTCGGTGTGAAAATTCATGGATACTTACTTGATTCCACAAAACACGACTGTAAAGAGATCACACTCGTGTTCAATCTATCTGAAGTAAACCAAAAACGAGAGACGTACTATCAAGATTAATCAAGAGACGGTCTGGTATTCCCGTAGGCCGCTCGTCTTTTGAAGAAGGAAAGCCCTCTGGTCCGGCCCTGGTGCGCTTGGCTGCTAGAGGTCTCACAGCCGAGCGTGCTGAAACCTTCGATTCAAGAGGTGTAGGAGCTACTTCCTCGTCGTTGTCTTGCTCAGTGTCTTTTTCTTCTCGTTGTTCTTCCTCTTCATCTGAGTTACGTCTTCGTTTACTACCTAGGGCATAGCTTGTAGCCTTCTTATTCCTCGGAGAACGACGAGCAGTTTGAGCAGGAGTACGGATACCAGCAGGAATTTGAATCTCCACAACTGGAAATAGTCGTGGAACAATATCTGCACTAATATGGATGAGCTCTTCCATAAGTCACAAATAAAATTGCGCCACTTTGTTATTGACTAACAGACCTGCTAGTACTGGATATTATAGTCGAGGACCCTGGCGTGTAGGGGGCTTGAAAGCCAGCCTTGCGGCGACGTAGGTCTTGAAGTGCACTTGCGGGCACGACTGGAATCTTTAGGGCGGCCATGAATTTTACTATTACCGTTCAATTGGACGCATCCAATTCAGCATTGTGATTCAAAACTCGAGAGCATAGCGTAATAGCTCTTGAGACAGTGGCTTACAAGAAATCAAAAAGACACTCAAAACGCCCCAGATTGTCGCGAATGACGAAGGAACTAAGTGATGAAGCTGAAGGAGTGAAACCAAGAAAAATTGAAGCGAGAAGTTTTCCCTTAAATTTCAGGCGGGAGATCCACGTGGCAATAGTAGCAGTCACTTACGTGACTTAGTGAGTTATGTATGTATGTACGAAGCTTGGATTAAAGCTGATTCGCCATCATCACGACACTGAACTTTTGCAATCTTTCGTCATTCTGAAACTGAATCGAATTTCAAAAGAGAGAAGTCAAAGCAAAACTTACGGTCTACATTTGGATATTTAAGTGTTGATCCAAGCTTTCTCACGCTATCAACATCTTCATGTCACTCCATCACTGGCGAACTCCTCTCTATAGCCACGAACGCGCAGCTCCTTCTCGTTCAAGCTATGTTACTGCTGGAGAGAAACCCTTGTTCTCGATACTAACTACGGAGGACCTAGAACATAGACATTGCGACGGCATTGAGGCCAACGATGAGCTCTGGCGCTCTTTTCGCCGAGATCACAGCACAGAATCCTATAATTCGGATACATATTCTTCAAACTCCTCATTCACACTGCATGACAATTATCACAAAGGAGAATCTGAAGAAGAAATGCCCCCAATCGGTTTCGAGAACGCGTCGAATCTCCCATCTTCGGCTTTCATTTCTCCAAGTTCTTCTCTCCACCAAGTATTCGAGCAAACCCTAGAATCCTCTATGCAATCAACTCTCATCGACTACCCTTCTGGATTTTTCTTTTCCTTGGGCATAGGCCCTGAAGATGATACTATGTTTATGCACGATCCGTTCAAGTTTGATTACGCACAAGACAAGATTCCTCTCGGTCAAGACAATCTACAAATGGTTAATGAGGACTCTGCTATTTCCACCAACTCTACAACTGTCCACAACTCTACAGCACCTGACGACTCTGCTTCTCTTTCATTGAACCGTGCTACTTCCGCCAATTTCAATATCCACAATTCTACAGCACCCGACGACTCTGCTTCTTTTTCTTTACCTTCTGAACGCGGAATGAGCCGCGCGATTCGAATACAGTCTTCGTTGGACATACTGCGCACAGGAAGGATCAGCCCGGTAGAGTTCCTGACAGAACTGCTTGACGTGACTAATCCAAGAAGCGCGCAATTTCGCGGAAAATTGTATTCTAAGACGAACAAGAGGGTGGATGACCTTTTGGATAAGATTGTCGAGGACCCCATGGGAGAAGCACTGATCGAGGATTGGTTTCGACGTTATGGTTTGAGAAAGGTAAGCCTGTCACGTTCATACGTCATTCGCGGCTTAATTTGACCTTTCAGAGAGATTCGGTATCGTCCATTTCATGCGGAAAAGAAAACATATTGCCCGGCACAGGACTTGGAAACGCTCAGTATTATCGTTGTGATTGATTCCGATAAAGAGAGATGGTCGATCGGCGGCGTAGACTCTGCCAAATGTGTGTAGATTCTTGTAACTATCCTTCCCACACAATGCAGATGCGCCTTGATTCCGAGATGGATATACCCAGACCAATTGGACTCGGAGGTTCACCGGAATCCTGGGTGATGTTCATTCGTCGTCTATTTCAGATGTCAGTGACAGGCGCATCCTCTTATCGCAATACAGCTAAGTATATGGTGATGCCGAATAGGATCTGTTCAGGCTTCTATAACTTTGTCGAAGCGATTCTGGGTGTCAATATATGCGTAAAGCACATGTTGATGCAGTAAACTTGGGCAGTATGCTCTTTTGTGTTTCTCAGCGTGCTCTATTTCCATTCATCTAAATGTTCCTCTGCGGTCAGGTGTATCATCTATCGAATGCCAAGCCAAGGTGGTCCAAAGAAGATACCTCGATGGTACAAAATTTATTCGGACAAACAACACTCGATCTTAGTCGGGTAGGATGCACATGGTATCCCCGTCTAGTAGCATTAGAGGACTTCGCTGAGTAGTAAAGATATACCGCATTCAGTAGCAAGAGAAACTGTGATCTTAATTCCCCAACAGATTCAGAATTCACATACTCGTGAGACGAAAGGTGAGCAAAAATCAGTTTGGTTTTCGCATATGCACGCGATAACTCATGCTTGCAGCACGATTTGTGGACTTCAAAGGTCTCTGTGTTCCTGTTCGGAACCTCCAACAATGTCACTCGTGGCGCGTCCTTCTTGCCTCCTGCTGATAATCGATCCCTTATGGCCTTTGTACCTTACAGCCGCCATAGGGCGCTTTCAACCTAACTCGCACTTCTCACTTCCCGATATCAATCGGCACACCAGTTCTCTATTGACTCGTGTTATCGCTACACCTGTATTTTCCAGATAAGCCAAAGTATGGTATAAAAGCCTCGGTGAATTTTCCGCTGTTCAACTGGCCTTCCAGATCTGCTCACCGCTAGCATCATGGTTCGCCTCTCTTCATATGCCGCTCTCCTCTCTGGTTTTGCTTCCTCCATGGCGGCTGGTATCCCCACCCGTCGTGCGATGGCCGTACACGACGAGCGTGAGCTCCCCGTTCATTTCGCCAATGCCGGTACCCCCAGCCCAGACACGCTCATGAACCTGAAGCTTGCGCTCACTGCTAGCGATATGGCTGGTCTCGAGCAAACGTTCTGGGATGTCAGCACCCCCGGCAATGCGTTGTACGGTCAGCATTTGAGCTTTGAAGAGGTATGTGCATATATGTAGCGTTTTCTTGAAAACGGGCACGAATTCATGAGCATACTCGTTTCTAGACGAAGGTCTTTGCGGCACCGACCACGGACACCGTGACCGCTGTTACCGCATGGTTGAACGAAAATGGCATTAACAACATCACCACTACCGGTGCATTCGATGACTGGCTTGCCTTCACCGTTCCCATCTCAACCGCCAACTCACTTTTCGAAGCTGATTTCCAGAATTTCACCGAGATTGGGGGCCCTACACAACTGATCAGAACTTTGTCTTACTCTCTTCCTGTAGACTTGCAACAACACATCAACTTGCTACATCCATCGACAGATTTTGTGAGGAACATTAAAGGCCCTATATTCCGTGCATCTGTTCCTGGTTCGAGCTTGAACAACACTGCTCGAGCATTGACAGCCCCTTCCTCATGTAATTCTGTCGTGACTCCTACATGCTTGCAAGATCTATATGGAATTCCGACCACCCCTGCCACTCAGGCTTCGAGTAAGCTGGCCGTGAGCGGTTTCATCGATCAATGGCCACAGGTGAGATGATCGACATACCAACGCGTCTTCTCAATTTGCCTGACGACCTGCCAGACAGCGGATTTGAAAACTTTCTTAGGTGCTCTCAGGACCGACATTTCTTCGGCCACAACTTTCACATTGCAAACCCTAGACGGTGGTTCAGATCCACAAGCTGCGAGAGACGCAGGTATTGAGGCTGTGAGTTCCACTACCTATATCGCTTCAAAGCCAATCCAATGAATGCAACATTAGAACCTTGACATTCAATACACAGTAGGAGTCGCTACTGGTGTGCCAGTAAGAATATCGTTCTATTTTATTACCATCAGACTAATATTCGTCCAATCAAGATCACTTTTATTTCCGTTGGCGAGGATAACACGGACGGAATCGACGGTTTCCTCGACATCATGAACAATATTAACGCTCAAACTGCGCCTCCCTTTGTAAGTGTATTAGCTGAAACACTGTGTGTTCTCGTTTCACTGAACATCATCCACCAGGTTCTCACTACTAGGTATGCATTTTGAAAAAAAACTGTCAAAGAAGGTGCAGCTGCTTATTTTCTCTAGCTATGGCTTCGACGAGCCAGACCTTACCAGCGCTATGGCCAAGTATGCGTCCTCATCAGTCCTACTTCGATTCCTGATGATGCTGACTGTCTCCTCTTAGTCAATTATGCAACGCCTACATGACAAGTGGCACCCGCGGTGTATCAATTCTTTTTGCATCTGGTAGGCTGTTTCCCTTACGCCTCGCATTAGGTGTGCGCTAACATCGACTCAAGGGGATGGTGGTGTATCCGGAAGTCAAAGTCAGAGCTGCTCCACCTTCATTCCTACCTTCCCATCTGGCTGTCCCTTCTTGACCTCCGTTGGTGCAACACAAGGTAGATAGATCAGTAATAATCAGTTTGGAGATCATTCTAACATGTTTGCTTCAATCAGATGTTACGGAAACCTCCGCTTCTTTCTCCAGTGGTGGATTTTCAAATATCTTTGCTCGACCATCGTATCAGACCACACCTGTTGCGACCTACCTAACAGCTCTCGGCAGCACTAACTCTGGCAAATTCTCAACCACCGGTCAGTTGTTTAGATTCTAAGACCATGTATTTCCGTGCTCACTAAGCTCTTTCCTATCTAGGTCGTGCCTTCCCAGATGTTGCCGCACAAGGTGTCAATGTAGAAATCGTCGATGGAGGCTCAAGTAGGAGGCTCTCTTGTCTGTTATCTGAAATATGCATGATAGTCTTCACCCATAGCTGGACTTGTTGATGGTACTTCGTGTGCCAGTCCCATTTTTGCTAGTGTTATTGCATTGATCAATGATCGCCTCGTCGCGGCGGGCAAATCACCTCTCGGCTTCTTGAACCCCTTGTATGTTTGTTCTTTCTTCCTGAGAACGAGATAAAATCTCACCAATCGCTCCAAGCCTGTACGCTAACCCTACTGCTTTCTTCGATATCACGACTGGTGACAATCCCGGATGTAAGTGAAGAATTGAATTGACCATAGGCAGAACTGATCATAATATCTATTGGTCTAGGCAATACCAATGGTTTCCCAGCCAAAGCCGGATGTAAGTTCCATTATGTCTAAAAAGGTTTCTTTTGGACTAATGTCGCATCGTAGGGGATCCTGTCACTGGGTTGGGAACGCCTAACTTCGCAAGTCTATTGGCTGCTGCTGGAGTTTAAGCACTCGAATAACACGACAAATTGTATCTATGCTGGCAAACGATTGTACACATGATGTCCTAGATACTAATGTACCAGGACACTAAGAGTAATATCATGTATTACCGACAGGGAATAACAGGGAATTGCATTGCATTAAACTAGCAGCCGACTGGAACATTTGCATATTCTGCATGTTTTGATGGATGATCATATCTTCATGTACTACATAAGTTATGCAAACTATGGCGCGACAGATATTGAAAAAGTCAGTGTAGTAAAATTTTGTGGCCAACGAGAAAGAAAATGGAAGCAAGAAAAAAAAGCATATGAGAATGGTATGTCGTTGTATTTGATGCCATGAGTGTCCTATCATTGCTCTCCCAAATTTCCTAGCCCTGCCTGAAGGTCTAGGAGAGAGTCACCTATTCGTGCTTGAATTACGGGTACGTCAGTGTCGAAGAAACTATCTCTTCCTGTTCATCCTCTTCGAGCTTGATGTTCACCTCAAAATGGCCCAACATTTTCCTTCCCACCCATAATATCCACACTCGTGGAAAACCGCACTGTACCAGATCCTTTAACATGACTCTTCATTCCCCCAGCTACACTCGGCACCTTCTCCTCCGTACCCGCCATCGATATCGATTCGTCATCAAAGCTGACGTCTCCCAACACCCACGCCTCCTCAGGCATTTGCTCCAGTAAACTTGGCACGCCAGCGTATATATGTCCCTCAGGAAGTCGAAGGGGGCTTAATGCAGAGGACGAGAGATTCGGATCGCCAAAATTGCCGACGCCTGTGATTTGGATCGATATATCTCCTTCTTCCATGGGAAGTCCAGGCTTGGGCGCAGAGGCAGCAACAGAGGATAAAGATGTAGCGGAAGTTGCGGAGGTAAGGGAGCTATGGGATGACGAAGAGACAAATGTTGATGTTGAAGTAGATGAGGACAATGAGGACAAGCCCGAAGACTCGGAGGAAGACGGAAAGAGTGGTTGTCGGAGGGAACTACTTCCTCCGAATCCAAACGCACTACTCCTTCTGCGCCCGGCGCCGATTCCACCAAGGCCAACAACGCTCCCAGCAGCAAAACTACTCCGCCTCCTCCCCACCGGTGACGATATCGGTGACGACGCATTCGACGTGGGAAACGTCGACCCCATACCTAAGGAATCGAATTTAGAGACAAACGCCGCGAGAGCCCGTCGTTCATCTTCCAATTTCGTACGAATCCACTTCTCTTTCTCGAGTTGTCTGACCAATTCCTCCGCCCATCGTTCCTTCTCCTCCCGCTTCTTCTTCTCTTCGTCAAGTCTGGATGACCAGTCTTTCTGTTCTCTATCCAAGTCCACCCGGGAAGGAGATGGCTCGCGAGTGAATCTTGCGTTTTCTAATTCACGGATTTTCTTGGCCTGCTCCTCGATTGTCTTTGCTTGGTCTTGAATTGTTTTATCTTTATCACCAGCGTCGGATGGGACAGAGGAGTCGACTGCTCGTGCCGCTTCTAGGGCGGCTTCGAGGGAGAGGATTTGCGTCTCTTGGGAGGAGAGTTGGAGTCGGGCTGTAAGGAGTTCTTGCTGGAGCTGAGAGAATGGTTTCGTTAACGAAGGCTGAATTTGTGTGTCTATGTAGGAACTTTGAACAAACCTGGTACGGGCTCATATCGAAATCCACCTTGATAGGACTCACAGGCCTAGATTCGCCTGGAGGACCTCCAGCAGCCTCATCTGTCACAGTCTGACTGGTAAGTATAAGCCTTGTGAGCTGTTGAATCCTCGATTGTAAATCCTGCATCGCCTGAGACTCATCCGCCTTTTCCTGCGCGCTCATCCGTCTTCTCTTCATTGTTACCTTTTCCTTCTCTTCTTCTTTCCCGTCATCCAACATGTTCTCCTTCTCCTCCAACCTCCTTTTCAAATCATCGATCTCCTTCCTATACCTCTCGATGAGCGCATCGGTGTCGATAATTTCTTTCTTCTGAGCATGCAATTTGACGCCCTTGACGCGTTTTGCGAATAGGAGGGTTGAGGTTGACTCGGCGATTGCGGAGGGGTCGGGGTTAATTGTGCAGATGACACTTATACGGGCATTCCCTGAGAGAGAGGGTTGGAGAAGCCTGGTGAGTTTGGAGTCGCGGAAGGGAATGTGGTCACTATAATGATAGCCGGTTTAGCTGAATCAAGAAGAGGTAATGTGGAGGGCGTACTTCTTCTGTTTGGTGGCATTATCTGAGAGTTTTCCGATGACAGTACCGAGGGTAAGAAGACTGACAACCAGGTGTCAATAAAGGTAATGACAAATTGCATCGATATGTACCTCGTATTGATATACTTGCCCTCTCGCGTCCGCTCCTTGTCAGACGTAGCTTTTTCGGAGCCCGCAAGATCAATGAGGCTCTGGAAATGGAAGTGAGTAAATAATGTGACGAACCCACTGGATACCTACCAATACACTGGTCTGTACACTCCTACCATCTCGCGATTGCAATCGCGGACCGCCATGATTGCCACCAGGACCAGGAGTTTGTCGACCACTCGGGGTTGCGCGGCCACCGCCCGGTGAAGGGGACGAGCTGGTGGAAGCATCAGCCCGCTCCCGACTTTCAATAACGAGTCGGAAAACCGAATGACTTCGGCTACTACGTTCATTCCAATCCGTACAGGCCGTCCGACGATGGCTTTCGCCTCGCTTAAGGACATCCTGGACACCCTTGATAGAGGTAACGACCTCCTCTCTAAGCGGCGCAAGGATAATGTCGCCATTAGCAGTGCCTCCCTGTAATTCAACCTTGTTTGGTACGCCTGGCGGGGCAAGGAGATCGTGGATCTGCTCGTTGTATATCTCCAAGTACGAGCAGCGGAGGAGGTATTCTCGTGTTTCTGTCCGGCGGATGTAGCTGAACACTTGGCGCATAGCGCGAGGTATGATACCAGGCTCGACTTCGCTTCCAGAGAGTGTGTATGTTTTACCGGATGCAGTTTGTCCGTATGCAAAGATGACTGCATTAAATCCTTCCATAGCAGCGACGACATGTGAGCGAGCGACGGTTGTGAAAATTGGTTTATTTGCTGAGCCAGTGAGAATGGCATCGAAGGTGAATGAAGTCGGTTGCCTGGCATGGGCTGGGTCTAGTTCAATAGTGTTGGTACTTACTGAAGGCTTCCATGCAGATTTAGAGTCTGGTTTCACTCTAAAGGGCTCTCAGTTATCGGAGTATAGTGAAACATCAAAATATTGACCTGACAGAAACCATGACTTTGTCTTCTTTACCATGATCAGCCTGCATCGTCTTTAGCCACGCTTCGTCCATCTCCCCGAGTGACACGTCTGCCGGTTCCACATTCTGATAGTCGACCAAAACTTCCTCAGGATCGACATTGGTTACGTCCATCTCGCTTGTCCTTGCCATCGACGGATCAGGAGTGGTACCACGCCTGGGTGTACCAGGTGTTCGTGGTCGGCCACTGTCGCTCTTTGTGGGTGAGCTGGGTCTAGATCCAGGTACTGGTGCCAACGTCGTAGGTTTCGAAGAATTCGTTCGCAGGTGAGCTCGGCTCCGTACATCACTCGATATGGGCGCCTTATACTTTTTGTGTGTCGAGGCCAATAGGTGGGGAGCAGGAGTCACTGTCGCTCGAGTGAGTCGTTCCATGGACGTGCCGGCTCCCACTGGGCGTTTCGGTGTGAATGGAGTGGGGCGGGCAAGCTTGGATGTTCCAGCATTCGTCGACATGGTTGCGTTGATCTTGAGGGTATCAACGTCGCGTGACCGCGTGGAGATCGGTGTAATACTTTCGGCCGATTGGGCCGCATTCAGCCTAGACCGAACTTTCCTGAGCTATCTCTGGCTGGGATAGTTTTAAGCCGGCCTGCGCATCCTGCAGAATTTTGCTCTTAAAGGATTTTGATTTTTGGCGTGCGTCGGTATGTGGTTTGATATTTGAGAATTCTGGTTCTTCCATATCCCACGATGCAGGGGAGCCACAACGGTAGGATAGTTCTTCGCGCTCATCAAAAGAGTTTTCTATGATAATACGATTCATCTCCTCAAAATTAATATCATAAGTGATGCAAGGGGACTCCTCAGGTACTAAAGGCACCCTGGAAGTCTTCAGAGAGTCAATTTCCTCCTGCGCCAATCTGACATGCTCATCCCAGAACTCATGATAGACATTTTTGGAAACTTCCACTGCCAATTTGTAGCGGTGACTGCACTTAGCAGCCTCAGATTGCTCGCGGGAATCAGGACATGAAGACATAGTAGGGTTTTATAGAGCCACTCTTCAAGGAAGACGAACGATTGACTGGAAAACAACGTTGGTCAGTTTTCACCTGCAGCTGTTTATGCATATAAAGATCATCATCGTCATCATCTTTAGGGTGCGATGCAGCAGACATGGATGAGGCTGGTTGAATGTTGAGACTTAATATTTTGCGTGGGAATGTTACTGGCTGTGCTGCGCAAATTAGCGCCTCGAAATAACTACTGATTCGTACCAGTTCGTACCTCGCCATTGTTATTGCAGTTCCTAGGAATTTGAGTTGAAGAGCCTGCGGCGGGCATGTCCTGACTGTTCTCATCTGGATCTCGAACATCGGTGGGGTCGAGCATTGAGGCAATCTCAGCCTCAGAATCAGACATCGGTCAACGTCAAAGCACAAGATCGATACAATGACTCCTTAAGAAACATAGCCACTATGATAATCTAAGTGCTCGACTCTATAGTCACCATTGTCACAGTGCCCATCGGAACAACAGAGTTAGGAGAGATAGATAGATAGATAGATACGCGGCTCCGTCGAGGATGGGGTCCCACAAGGGAACAGCCGGGCCCAACCATCCTGCTTGCAGTGAATGCTCATCCGACGAGGGATGGTAGACTGCAGCGGCAGTGGAGGGGGTAAATACATGTTGCGGTACATAATACGTAGTAGGGCTGCCAAAATGAATCATTCCTCCTCTGAGTCGTCATTGTCTGTGCTCGCGACTTCTTCCAGGTGTGAATCTAGGCCAGTGTCTAAGTAGTACTGCCACCGTCCAATCACGTCGTGTATGAATTTCGCCGTAGGTATAACTAGAGACCAGTCGAAGATGAGCAGCTTGAGGTAGTGTAGGGCGGACGAGTCTGAGAAGATAGTGTTAAGCGGGAGGGGACAAGCTTGACAGATGTCAGATGTGAAGACGGAGCAAAGGGAGGATATGCTATTCAGAGATGGACATTGCAACAGGACATGTTGAGGAGTTTCCGGATGAAGGTTGCAAGCCCGGCAGAGTCAGTTGAGGCACTCCGCGATGGACAACTGGCGGAGAGGCAAGGGGGAAGCACGAAATAGATAGGGAATGTAATCACCGCAAAGTAGTTTAGCGATGGCACGGCAGTGTGAGTGGTTCATCACTCGCATTAGGTAATGTTGGAGCCCAATAAGCTGCAGCTTTGGCAGGCCTTCTTTGTTTGGTTCCAGGTGATGTCATAGAAGGGATAGTTTGGACCATGTGTTGATATGGGAGTGTAGATTGTTTTTGGTGGAGAGTTCGATAGATTTGATGAGTCTATCAATGTGGTCTCCTTCGAGACCTCGGAGGTTGGGTAGGCGATGATTACCCAGTAGTTGGCTGATGGCATAATCCAGGTCAGAGAGCCAACAGGGGAAGTGGAGGTTGCGGAGGTTGTTGCTCTCTTTGAGGGCGATGGCGGCATAGTGAGAGTCCGGAAGGTCCATGAGGTATCTGAGGTAACGGAGGGTAAGAGATACACGGCGAGTGCGGATAGGCATGATGCCAGTTTCAGTGTATAGCGGGGAGATTACAGAGTTGCTGGAGAGACCCACCATGCAGTGAAGGAAGCGGATCTGAATGTCTTCCAGTAGGCGTAGAAGGCTAGGGTCAGTGTCAGGTATGATTTCGCATCCATTGGTGAGGTGACAGTCCACCAATGCAGTGTAAAGTTGTTTGGTGATCGTGGGAGGCATGCGATGGTTTCCGACTAGAAGATCGCAGCCAGTGATTGCACGCGCAGTTCCGACGGCGCAGTCCCATTTTTCGGTGTAGTGGGAGGCAAAGATGTTGCGATGCGTGGATTGGAAGAAGACCCCAACGTAGCGGACCACATCGCGGAAAATTAGAGTTTTGCCAGAGAGAGTGAGTTGGGGGAGAGGATGTGGTAGGGGACCAAAAACCATGACCCAAGATTTATCCGCGCTAACAATCAAGGCGTTATCTCGGCACCAGTTGTGGAAGGAGTCCAGATGTTGTTGGAGGCCCAGGTGGCCGCGGGAGATGAAGACAATATCATCTGCATGTTCGAGGTGAGAGATTACGATGGTTAGTAGCTCCATGTCCTCGGGGTCAGAGGGAAGATTGAAGCTGGAGAGGAAGATGTTCCAGAGGGTGGGAGAGGAGGGGTCACCCATGAGGACACCACTAAAAGCGTGGAACCCGTCAGACAGTTGACCATTGTGAGCAATGGTGTAGGTCATTTGGCTGTATAATGAGCGGAGCCAGTCGAAGTACTTGCCTGTGAGGCCAGCGTCAGAGAGTTTGTTCCACAGGGAGCTTTGGTTGGTGGAGGGAAATGCATTGGAGATATCAACAAAGGCGGCATAGATGGTTTCACCTCGCGAGCGAGCTTTCTCAATGATTGTGCGAAGAATGAAGGCATTGTTATTGGTGTGAAACCCCTCACGGAAGCCGTTTTGGGAAGGCGGGATGGTGTGGGACTGTTCAAGAGCCTTGCGTAGTTTGTGATGGACAAGCAGGGAGGCAAATTTGAGAATGCAGCTCTCGAGGGCAATAGCACGGTAGTTGCGAGTTTTGGTCGAATCCTTACCAGGTTTAGCAAGGGCGATGATGGTCGAGGTGAGCCATGAGGAAGGCATGTCTTGGTGTTCAACGGCTCATTGAAAAAGGGGAAGGAGGTAGTTGTTGTCGATTTCAATAAGGAGGTCATAGGTGGCAGCATCGACACCAGTGGAGTTGGAGTGGGTGGTATGTTTGAGGAATGACTTTACGGATGCGATATCATCAAGGGATAATGGTTTGTTGAATGCGGGGTAAGTGAAGGGCAGTGAGGGGAGTGGGATAGCCTGAGCGCGAGTATCCTCGGCAAGGATACGAGCGGGGTCAAAAGATGAGGCGATGGGATTGGGAGGGTTCATCCGGGGGATGAAAGTCTCTGTGATCTGTTGGAGGGAGACTTTGGGTAGCAGGGCTTGCCTGTGGTGGATCTCCTTGTAATAGTGCCAAAAAGTAGCACTTCCGGCGGTGGCTGCATCAGAGAGTTTGGAGCGAATTAGGTCCTGTCGAGTGCATTTGTGGGAGCGGCCTCGATGTGAGGATGGGTGAAGGACAGGAGGGTGCAGAGGCGGGTGTGGTGCGGGAAGTGGGGGAATTTTGGGTAGGGAAGTGGAGACTTTCGGGATGTTGGTGGGTGTTGCAGGCTTGAAGAGCGGCGGTGCAGGGGCAGACAGGAAATCCAGTGGAGAGAGAGGCAGTGGTAAAGGTAGTGTTGAGCCGTGTTTAGCCAGACTGTCAGTGGCATTGTTATGAGCGTTGTTCGAGTGGCCACGGACATGGTGGAATACAATGGGTGCTTCCCTTGAGGCAAGCCAGAGGGTGATTGAACGCAAGATGTCACCATTTGCACAAGTCCAGTTGGACTGAGCTTTGTTTGGTGCGCGGAAGACAATGGAGCAAATAGTGTATTCGGAGTCCGAGTAAATTTCAAGATGACACTTATGGGCCTTCTGGATGGCAATAAGAACTGCAAAAAGTTCGCCGCGGTTGTTCATTTGAGCTCCGGAGACCCGTGCGGATATGTTAAGTGGGTGAGAGTGGTTGCCAAAGAATACACCAGTGCCAGAGCGAGCATTCAGTCGACCCGCGTTTGAACAGAAGCTGTCGGTGTAGATTTTGATCGGAGGGAGGGGCAGAAGCGTTGATGAAGCATGGCCATATAGTGAGGTCAGCTGAGACGAGTGTGAAGGATACAGTCCTGGAAAAAGTCAGTGTCAGTGCGCAATGGAAGGTGGATAATAGGTCTGCGTGGGGCACATCTAGGAGATGTGGTGGTAGGGGATCTACGGGGAGCAATGATGTCGAGGGTAATAGGAGAGTGGTCAGACCATTCAGTTTCGGGGCTCACGTTTAGCTTGGACATGAAGGGCAACAGGAAAGAAGTAATGATAAAGTAGTCTATTACAGTTTTTAAGGTAATGAGGTGTTCCCAAGAGTCGCGACGTCGTTGAAAGGATGTGGGAGAGGAATGGGAGCCAGGAAGAGAGGAGGAACCATTGAGAATTGTTAGCTGAGCGTCGTTGCAGAGATCCAGAAGGAGTCTCCCACGTGTTGACACAGTGAAGTTGGATGATACACGGTCAGGGTGCTCGGCATGAGGTAATAGGTCCCCGATGCGGGCATTGATGTCGCTGCCTGTAATTGTGGGCATGTCAATTTGCATGAGGAGGTGAGTGTTTTCTACAAAGGCATCCCATGGATTGATGTCCGACCAATCCAGCCAGTTTGTGTGCGAGGACTCTGGAGGGATGTAGATGTTGCGAATCAGGGTGCCATTAACCTCAACAACCAGTAAATCAGGGCTGGAGAGGTCTTGGCGTAAAAGACAGTCCAGATTGTCACGGACAAGAGTTGCGACACCGCCCCAGGGATTCTCGATGTCATTGTCAAGTCAACGGCAGTTACGGACAAAGGAGATAAAGCCCAGTGGGGTCTTCATGCAGGATTCAGATTGCAGCCGAATTTCTTGTAGAAGGATGATATCGGCAGTCTGTAGGAGATTGAGGAATTCAGAGGAGAGGTAATTAAGTAGATATCGACCATTAATGTTCCAGCTCATAATCTTGAGAGAGGAGTGATGTGTATTCAAGGAGGAAGTAGTAGGGGTAGTACAGGAATCATAAATAGATGTGTGTAAAGGTACGCCATTAAGGGAGTGCGAAGCAGTAGGAGGGGATGATGAATAGGAAGAGGGCTGAGCTGAACTACCTAACGAGACTCTCTTCTGACATAAACGTCAATAAATGCTGCTCTGGGTCACGGAGACATCGAAGATCTTAGGAATTTTAGGCTGATGAGTCTTCCATGTACGCATGAAGGTGTTGAGGGATTTATCAGTGAAGGACAGGCGGACAACATAGGATCCATCCTCAGTTGTGTCCAAGCATTCAGCCAGATCCGGTAAGGGGAGGGAGGCACCATGTGCATTGAAGAAAGTTTGCCACCGACCAAGCATGGCAATGATAGCGGCAGAGGAGGTCGGGAGAGCCCACCGAGCTGGCGCCAGCAAGATAGCAGATGGAGAATGGCCAAGGTGATGTGGGGAGGCAATGCGAGCGAACTTGGAGGGGGAGGGTGCTGGGGGATCGAGTTCAGAATGAGGACGTTTGTGAAGAGGGAGCACTGGGACCGACGGGCCGTCTGTGAGGCAAGAAAGTAAATCGGGGCACGTTCTGATTTGGGGCATGACGATGTGGATTGAGTCCTGGGACACAGGTGTAGGGGTAGAGAGAGGGGTAGTAGGTACAGGAGGAAGGGGAGGAGTAAAGGAGGGAGGTGGGAGCGAAGGTTGTGA